GTACAATCGGTCACTGTTGATGTGAAACTTCTAACGAGTGTATTTTGGTGTTTGAATAAGTCAAAGAAGTTATTTATAACATGGTTATTAGTATCCTACGACACGATTCGATACAGGTCACTAACGATATGTATCAGAGAGTGTATCATAAACCTTTCGATACGTTGATATGTATCCTACGATACGATACGTATCTGTTTGTATCCTTAAAAATGTCGATATAAATCAATACGACTTTATTAATTTGGGCCAAAGGCCCAAAAAAATTTTCAAGTTGGAACTTGGAACCAGGTCACCCAACCTGATTCACTAAAACCTATCCAAATTTACCTATTTTGCATGATAATTATAATATAAGTTGAGATATAAATATTGACATTGATCTTGGAAATAATTTGAATAGTTGAGAGAAAATAATATAAATTCTTAATTTTGTAATTAATTTTGATTATGTAATACCATAATTTAAAGCCAATAATACCACAAAATTCTTTAATTAATCTTAAGGATGATATTAATTTTTAGAAAATTTTGATTATTTTATTAATTTTTTTTAAAAAGACGTATCCTACGATACGATACGATACGTGATACACGATTTAAAAAATTAGGTTTTAGATACACAATACGATACACGATTTTACAACCATGATTCATAAGACTTAAATATGCGTATATATGATATCATACATTCATTTATTTACTCAATGTCATCTTTTTATTTTTTTTTATTTTTTTACTTGTAAACGTACTCTATTAATTGAACCTGATTCTCATTTAATATAAAATGCTAATTGTATATATGATATGATCGACGCATCATATATCAAACCTAATTCTCATTTAACATTGAATGCTAATTATTAAATATATTTTTATTTTAAAATATTTCAATTATATGATTAAAAAAAAAAGATAAATGCAAATATAATTTGGTATTATGATACTCTTCTTTCACCCACGGTGATGTAATTGTTAGACATATGGAAACATATATTAATTAATTTCTTTATAATGCTACTTGTTGGAATTGGCGACCACTTCAACAATAAAGAGTTTGACTATAAGGGGCGACGCACAAGGGGATCTCGCTGCCATCATTGGTATTTTATTTAATTTATATAATTAAAAAATAAATAAAAATATTGACGAGAGAGGTAAGATAATATTGAAAGAGTAATACTTCACTGACAAATCTTTTTTACTAAATTTATCTCACAAACGCGACGTGTAGCTTATAATAGGTCTCATCTAACCAAATACGAGCTATTACATCACGTTTGTGAAAGTATATTATGATATCAATATGAGTGATATTGAAATCATAATAAATACATTCATTATAACGAAAGAAGTGAGGTAATATTGACTTTACTAAACGTAACTCAGATTTGGATAAACCAGGATAAATCACACGTATTTTATTTTCATTACTAGTTCGCTATTTGAGTATGATTGTTTGTTAATTTGATTCCAACGCTCTCCAATTCACTTCAATTTAATCTCGTTTTAATTATTTAAAATGATTCTACAAAAAGATTTAGAATATAGTTTTATGAGTATATTTATTTATTTATTTATTTTAGGCCTCATCATATTATATTATATTATATTAATTACCCTAATAATCTTATTTTATAACTCCCATGATTGTTATTTTATTAATTTAAAAAATAAAAAAATAATAATTATGGTTTCACTTTCTATGTTGTTGAAAACAGTTTCTACCTGTCTTCCACTAGCAAAATGTTGCCGCCGGTTATCTTTTTGTTTTCATTTGGTTGTTTAATTTGTACTTATTAACAAACCTTTGGCTTTAATTATAATTATGTCTCTTAATTATTTCTCCCCTTTTCACCTGACCTCTTGTCTCTATTCTATTGTTGTTACTTAGTCAAAAGGTTTGTTTCAACATTCTTTTGCATAGCCTAAGGGTATATGTATTTCCATACACGTTTCACCGGGTTTTCTTGTAATGCTTTGGATGTATTTACGAACTTTTTTTGTTTTTTTTTTTTACAAATTTGTTGTTGAATTTTACAATATCATAGCGATGGATGTGGGATAAAAATGTATAATCAATAAGTTTTTACAACAAACTTGTAATTTCGACTGCAAAGACGGACTTTTTTACGATGGTTATTAGTATCTTACGATACACGATACGTATCATATGATACGATTCGATACAGGTCACCAACGATACGTATCAGAGAGTGTATCATAAACTTTTTGATACGTTAATATGTATCCTACGATATGATACATATTTGTTCGTATCTTTAAAAATATCGATATAAATCGATACAACTTTATTATTTTGGGCCAAAGACCTAAAAGAAAATTAGAGTCGGAACTGGGTTACCCAACCCGGTTCACTGATACCTGCCAAATTTATTCATTTTGCATGGAGAAAGTGAAGAGGAACATGTGTTGCCCATTTTGCATGATAATAATAATACAAGTAGAGATATAGATATTGACATTGATCTTTGGAAATTATATGAATAGTTGAGAGAAAATAATATAGATTTTTAATTTTATGATTAATTTTGATAATGTAATATCATAATTTAAAACAAATAATACCACAAAATTCATTAATTAATCTTGGAGATGATATTTAGAAAATTTTGGGGTGCGTTTGGCTCTCTATTTCTATCCATATTTTCAATCATATTCTCCAAATATTGTTTGACATATTATTCCAATAATATTACTATATATTTTTAATTACTTTTAGACTCCTTAAGTTTATTAATTCCATTAAATATTCCCAGAAAAAAAGTTTAAAAATTAACAAAAACACCCCAATCAACCCATACTTGCCAGATTCCGGCAACCATCGTCGGTGGTGGCCGGAATCTAAACAACGGCCTACACTACGACCAGAATTGGCTGGTAGTTCACCGATCTGGGCGTCACTGATGGCCAAAGAAATGGCTATCGTTGACGGTCAATGACGGCCATATCTTTGGCCGTTGCTGACAGCCAAAGATGGACTTCTTTAGCTTTTTTCGACCGTCGATGGCCACATCTGGCAGTAGATTTAACATTTTCCAGCCAGATGAGTAGTGGATTTCGCCGAAAAAGACCATAGTGATGCGTTACAACATAGATCCGATCGGTCTGTGTCGTAACGCAGCGGGTGATAGAGGTGTTTTTGTCATTTTATATATTAGGGTGTTTAATTAAATTAGCAAACCTATGAGTTTTTTTATAAATTTTTAAATTTTACCTCGTAATACTCCCCTATTCAACTACCGAATATTATTCCCAAAATCTTATACAAAATAATAAACCAAACGCACCCTTTATTATTTTATTAATTTTTTTGAAAATATGTATCCTACGATACGCGATACATGATTCAAAAAATTAAGTTTTCGATACACGATACAATACGCGATTTAACAACCATGCTTTTTACTTTATTTGAAGATAGAAATTTAGGGTAGACATGTAAAATTATATGATGAATTATAAAAGAAAATATGTGAATCATAACTTTTTACTATAGATTTATAATTGTAACTATATATGATAGACTTATAATAGTGAGCGGTGATGATAAAAAAAAATTAAGGTATCAGTCAAACGTCAAACTTAGATTGATATTACATTATTCCACTTTATAAAAACATAATAGTACTAAATTAATCCCCTTTATATAAGCAAATTATATTTAATTATACAATAATTTTGTTTTTTATCTGTCTTTACCTAAACATTTACAATGATTGATACGAGAATTAATTAAAAAAGTAGACATAATAAAAAAATAAAAAAATTAAGTGGTTTGAAGAGAATACTTTAGATCCAAAGAAATAATAATTATTGCTTGCTTTTCTTAGAAGTTGGTACCAAGTTAGCAATAGGATTTTATAAATCAAAATGTGAATAATAAAAAATTGAAAAAAGTTAACCACTACATAATTGCTTTTATTTTAAGGTAAAGAAATTAAAGTGGAAGCAAATTTTTTATTGGAGACTATGTGAGTTTTTGGCAACATTTTTTTTATGTTTTCTTTTACTTCATACAAAAGCAAATTTCTAAATGTTATATTACAAACAATGTTTGTATACCCAAACCGGGCCTTGACCTAGTCAAGGGGTTGGTCCTTGGGTCGATAGTCTGATTAGCAGATTGAACCAGTGATGTTAGTATAATCGATCCGATTGATTGAAGCAGTAGTTAAATTGACGATTCGGTACTGTTCTGTTGGTTCAACCCTAAGTCAATCCGGTCTAACTGTTATAATTAGGTTTAGGATGTATCTAGATTGAATAAGGGTCCAACTCTCGGTCGAACCGATCGAATTGGTTGGTTCAGTCTGAATTTTAAAACAATGATTACAAATTCATGAATCAACTCTATCATCTCCACTCCATAGGAACTAAGAGATCCGTAAGGATGCCATCAAAATCCCAAATTCATCGACCAATCGTAGAATCCTGCATTTCTGCTTAGTAAGTGAATGCATTAGCTGTTCACTCCCACGTTGGAGAATCAAGGGTTAGAAAAGGATAATAACTAACAAGGTAAAAAGTCTAGCTAAATAGTTATGAATTTGAAGTGAATTATTTCCCAAAAATATATTAAAAAAAAACTTCTCAAAATACGATTATCTTTTTTTAAGAATAAGATCCTTTATTGATCTAATCGTTACTAAAAAATAAAAAAAAATCCGCCACACAACTAAAAATTAGATGCGTTGTTCTTAATGAAGAATTATAAAAACAAAAATAGTCGGAATACACTAGACTATCAAGTCTAACACCGTCTAATATTGTTTAATATGTTTTAATTATTCCATCGAACCATACTGTTAAATACTAAACTTGATATAAGACTATTTAATTTAAAATAATCTATGGTTATATATATTAGTAATATAATATTTATTATTTCATTAAGGTATAAATCAATTATTTTTTAAATAAATACTGCAAATTTTAGGATTTAAAACACCGGAACAATTTAAGATTCCAATGTGATCACGAGACTGTGGTAGGCTTATCAGTACCAGTACCGGGACCGGTACAATTTCAAACGGGCCGGGATAAAGCGTGGTCCTCCACCCAGATAAACATTTTTGGACTCGTTTTGACTCGTGTCTGTCGTCTACTTGACAGTGAGTTTCAAGTAGCGAGGGAGTCAAGACTCTCTCCCTCCCTCTCTCTCTCTCTTTCTCTTTCTCTCGCACTGTGGCGTTTTAGACGTAGTGGTGGTGCGGTTGGTGAATTGTTGTTTTCTCTGTCCCGAGAGATCTCGCATCGCATTACATAACTCGCGAAATGTACGTCTCTTCAAACCCTAGCTTCCTCTTTTCTCTCTCAGATCTGCCGAAATTTCGAATTATTCACGCGCATTTTCAGCTCTTTTAACAACATTCACGTTTTTCTTGTCAATTTCTTTTTTTGGAGAAGTTCGTTCAATGGATGGCTCCGGTAGCGGAGCTGCTAGTGGTGGTGGAGGAGGGGGTGGAGGTAGCCGGTTCAGGAGAATACCTCGCCAGTCTTTTGCTCATCTCAAGTTGGACCCTGTAGTGAGTGTTTTTCTTTTTAAAAATTGTTAGGGCTTTTTGTTAATTATTTGTTGCAATGTGAGTTGGTTAATTGAATTCTAGGTTAAGAATGTGTTTTGTGCTTGTGTTTGGTGATGGTTAATGCAGCTTGATGAGAATTTGGAGCAGTGGCCACATTTGAGTGAACTGGTTCAGTGTTATAGAAGTGATTGGGTTAAAGATGAGCATAAGTATGGTCATTATGAAAGCGTTAGTCCTCCATCATTTCAAACTCAGATTTTTGAAGGGCCCGATACTGATATTGAGACGGGTAATTGTTTTGTTTTATTTTATGTTGGGTTGTGTTTTGTAGTGTTTGTTGTTGAAGTTTGGTGTTTGTGAAATGACTTTGATATGTCTCTTTATGCAGAAGCGCGACTTGCTAGTGCGAGGCGAGGGAAGGCTGAAGATGGAACTGATGATGACATGCCAAGTACTTCTGGAAGACAATACTCCGATGCTGCTGATGTTTCGAAGGTTTTCTGTTTGGAGTATTTGTTTTATTGTCTCACTTTTCAACTTCTTTGTTCTTCCACTTTGTGACTTTGAAGATATGTTCATTTCTTATGATTTTTGACTTATCCTTTCTGCACTTTCTGATGTACTTGTAGCATTTTGGTCAATCTCCTCTCCCTGCTTATGAACCTGCTTTTGACTGGGAAAATGAGAGGTCAATGATATTTGGTCAAAGAATTCCAGAAACCCCTATGTCACAGTATGGCAGGTCTAAATCTTGTTGCATAGTATATGTCTTCTAGCAGCATTTCCAGTGGTTTTTTTTTCCTGAAAATTTATTTATATATCTTATCTGAGGGCTCCCCTTATTTCCTCGATTGTGCTCTCAGTGGGTTGAAGATCTCTGTGAAAGTTTTGTCTCTAGCATTTCAAGCCGGGCTAGTTGGTGAGTTTCTGTTTTATTTTGGTAACTACCACAAGTTTCGGGCTTTGACTTAACTCTCTCTCACGTTATTACAGAGCCTTTCTATGGTACAATTTGCCTGTATAATAGGGAGAGAAGAGAAAAATTGTCTGAAGATTTCTATTTCCGAGTTTTACCATCTGAAATGCAGGATGTAAGCCGTCAAATCTATTAGCTTTTCTCTATTTATCCTCACCCTTTCAATGAATTTTGTTTTTCTATAATCACTTGATTTTTGCTTACTCTAATTAAAGAGTATACTGTTTCCTCCTGTGATTGGCAGGCTAAAATATCATACGAACCTCGTGGTATGTTCTATTTAGATGCTCCATCATCATCCATTTGTCTGCTAATCCAGTTAGAGCGGCCTGCTTCAGAAGAAGGGGGAGTTACGCCGTCTGTTTATTCACGCAAAGAACCAGTATGTCCAATAATATCCTTATTTTTCTTTCTTATTTCTTATTAAACGGAAGAACCGCATATGTGAGGCTTTTTTTTAAAATTCTTTTTTTCTTTTTAACTTTGAGCTTTTTGATCTTTTGTTTCTCAATTAAAGATGCTGGGTGGAAGAGATCTTTTTTTTCTCGTTTACTTGCCTGTTCTTTTACTACCCTTTGGTTTGTAAGGTGTGTTAGCCCCTGAACTGTTTTACTGAAATCGTCCCTTATAAAAACCAAGTGTCTGGTATATGATGCTGGCTTAGTAACTACCATGAGGTCAAGGGTAGCAAAGAAAAAATAGAGATTTGAAGTTGGCTATGCAGACACTGAAACAAATTCTATGTCTTCTTACAAAATGTATGGATTATATTTCTCTGTAAGATGATTTTATTTTTTTGTACCTATCTGATTTCTGAACAGGTGCACTTGTCAGAGAGAGAAAGGCAGAAACTGCAGGTGTGGTCTCGGATTATGCCTTACAGAGAGTCCTTTGCGTGGGCTATTGTTCCGTTATTTGACAACAACATTGGTGCAGTTTCTGGTGGATCTGCTTCCCCTAGCAGTCCTCTTGCTGCCAGCGTGTCTGGATCAAGTTCCCATGAGGGTGTGTTTGAGCCCATTTCCAAGATCACGTTAGATGGGAAGCTGGGATATTCAAGTGGAAGTTCCATTGTAGTTGAAATATCCAACTTAAATAAAGTAAAGGAAAGCTATACCGAGGAGTCACTTCAGGTGTGGTGGTGGTCAGCTCTTTTGCTTTTTTAGCTATTGTAATGCCCTTGCTTGTTTTGGCTTATAATCTATGTATGAAATTGTTGCTAGTATCTAGTATAGTTGGTTGATTCTCACAGATCATATCCACATATGTACACACACACATATCTGCTCATATGCTTATGTCAAGTATGGAAGATATCACTATAGCTTTTTGGCCCTTGTTTCATTGGGGCTTCATTTTCGCTCCAGCTAGACTGTTCCATACTTGTATTAGGTCACTGTGGCATCTTCTAATATTCTATCTCTTTTGGCCTTTCTAACAATTATAGGATCCTAAACGCAAAGTTCACAAACCAGTAAAAGGTGTTTTAAGATTGGAAATTGAGAAGCATCAGACAGGGCAAGCTGATTTGGAGAACATATCAGAAAGTGGCAGTGTGACAAATGATTCCATTGATTTAGGGGACCGTGTTACAGATTTGACTTTTGCTAAGTGCCCCAGTAATGGTTCAGATGGGCCTCAGACTAGCAACTCTAAGTGGACTTCCAGTGACGGGAAAGAAGTTTCTGGAAATGGGTCAAATGCATCAGATTTTAATGCCGATGATGTAAGTGCAACCCATTCTTGTGATGGTACTTGTTAACTAGCCTCTCCTAAGTGGTAATTTACCTCTTTTCTCAACACATTAACATAAGAAATGGTATGTAATTTTTATTTTGTTTTAGTTTTATTTCATTTGGAAGTTGATACAACCCTCATTTGGCTTATAGCATGTGTAAATTTTGCCATCAATTGATTTGTTGATTGATGCTTTTTTGTGTGCCACTCCTGGCTTGGTAAACTATGATAAGTATAGAGATGAAAGAGTCGATTATAAAGAAGTGAACTATATGAATTTGAGTGTGGTGATGAAGATAGCTTTGGCAATTTTAGAATATTGTTGTACAAAGTTTGCATTTATGCAGGTTTTCCTTAAAAGATGGTTCTCTTTCCAGAGCATAATTCTAACAGTTGACATTTTTGAGGTTGGAGCAATGATTCTCCTGTGCTATTCAGTTTTAAATTTTTTCTAAGATTCATGGTTGAATCAAGTTATGGTTTCCCTCTCATGATCAATAAACTATTTCTTGACATGCATTGAAAGGAACATGAGTAATTAGGATCCCGTTGAAACCCTTTCGAAGTGGGGGTCTCCTTTTTATTCAAGTTCTAAACTGCGGAAGCCCCCCATTTATGTATTGCCTGATAGATTTTTGGTCCTTAATCCCATGTCCTTTTGATTCATGTATTTTGTGTGCTTAGAGAATTTTGATATGGATGGAACTTCCGGTCAACTCTTGCACCTTGAAATTTCTGTTACCAATTCATTAATACCTATGTTGATTAACTCTCAGTTTCAAGCTTTTGACTTCCGCACCACAACAAGAAATGAGCCCTTCTTGCAACTCTTTCATTGCCTATATGTATATCCCTTGAGTGTAAGTTTGAGTCGAAAGAGGAACTTGTTCGTTCGGGTTGAACTACGGAAGGATGATACTGATGTTCGTAGACAGCCTTTAGAGGTAAACCTGTTAATTGCTATTCTATATTAAGAGTTGTTTGCTTTCTGAACTTCTTCTTACTTGTTTTAGTGGGTTTGACTAATATGACTAGGCAATGTATCCGAGGGAGCCAGGCGTGTCACTCCAGAAGTGGGCTCACACACAAGTCGCCGTTGGGACTAGGGTTGCTTACTACCATGACGAAGTTAAAGTTTCACTGCCTGCTATCTGGACACCACTGCATCACCTTTTATTCACATTCTTCCATGTTGATCTGCAGACGAAACTAGAAGCTCCAAAACCTGTAAGTTGTACTTGTATTATCTTCTTAAAAAATCCATGTTGCTATATCATTCCTTATGTCTGAATTGTTATTATTATTTTTTAACTCTACAAAATGCCATGGAGCTTTGTCAATTTTCCTATATTTTCTATAGGGATGATCATTTTGTTCATTCACTTAACAGGTAGTTATCGGATATGCGGCACTTCCATTGTCTACGCATGCTCAGTATGTATATTCTTTATATTTGATCTTCCTATTTCGTCTAAGAACTTAAATTAGTTTTAAGAATAAGATCCTTTATGATCTAATCGTTACTAAAAAATAAAAAAAAATCCGCCACACAACTAAAAATAGATGCGTTGTTCTAATGAAGAATTATAAAAACAAAAATAGTCGGAATACAATAGACTACAAGTCTAACACCGTCTAATATTGTTTAATAGTTTAATTATTCCATCGAACCATACTGTTAAATACTAAACTTGATATAAGACATTTAATTTAAAATAATCTAGGTTATATATAGTGTATTAATATTTATATTTCATAAGGTATAAATCAATATTTTTTAAATAAATACTGCAAATTTAGGATTTAAACACCGGAACAATTTAAGATTCCAATGTGATCACGAGACTGTAGGTAGGCTTATCAGTACCAGTACCGGGACCGGTACAATTTCAAGGGCCGGGATAAAGCGTGGTCCTCCACCCGATAAACATTTTGGACTCGTTTGAATCGTGTCTGTCGTCTACTGACAGTGAGGTTTTAAGTAGCGAGGGAGTCAAGACTCTCCTCCCTCCCTCTCTCTCTCTCTTTCTCTTTCTCTGCACTGTGGCGTTTTAGACGTAGTGGTGGTGCGGTTGGTGAATTGGTGTTTTTCTCTCCGAGAGATCTGCATCGCATTAACATAACTCGCGAAATGTAGTCTCTTCAAACCCTAGCTTCCTCTTTTCTCTATCAGATCTGCCGAAATTTCGAATTATTCACGCGCATTTTCAGCTCTTTAACAACATTCACGTTTTCTTGTCAATTCTTTTTTTGGAGAAGTTCGTTCAAGGATGGCTCCGGTAGCGGAGCGTGCTAGTGGTGGTGGAGGAGGGGGGGAGGTAGCCGGTTCAGGAGAATACCTCGCCAGTCTTTTGTTCATCTCAAGTTGGACCCTGTAGTGAGTTTTTCTTTTTTAACTTTTGTTAATAATTGTTGCAATGTGAGTTGGTTAATTGAATTCTAGGTTAAGAATGTGTTTTGTGTTTGTGTTTGGTTATGGTTAATGCAGCTTGATGAGAATTGGAGCAGTGGCCACATTTGAGTGAACTGGTTCAGTGTTATAGAAGTGATTGGGTTAAGATGAGCATAAGTATGGTCATTATGAAAGCGTTAGTCCTCCATCATTTCAAACTCAGATTTTTGAAGGGCCAGATACTGATATTGAAACGGGTAATTGTTTTGTTTATTTATGTTGGGTTGTGTTTGTAGATTAGGGTTGTTTGTTGTTGAAGTTTGGTGTTTGTGACATGACTTGATATGTCTCTTTATGCAGAGAACGCGACTTGCTAGTGCGAGGCGAGGGAAGGCTGAAGATGGAACTGATGATGACATGCCAAGTACTTCTGGAAGACAATACTCCGATGCTGCTGATGTTTCGAAGGTTTTCTGTTTGGAGTATTTGTTTTATTGTCTCACTTTTCAACTTCTGTTCTTCCACTTTGTGACTTTGAAGATATGTTCATTTTTGATTTTTGAATTATCCTTTCTGCACTTTCTGATGTACTTGTAGCATTTTGGTCAATCTCCTCTCCCTGCTTATGAACCTGCTTTTGACTGGGAAAATGAGAGGTCAATGATATTGGTCAAAGAATTCCAGAAACCCCTATGTCACAGTTATGGCAGGTCTAAATCTTGTTGCATAGTATATGTTTCTAGCAGCATTTCCAGTGGTTCTTTTTTCCTGAAAATTTATTTATAATCTTATCTAGAGGGTCCCTTATTTCCTCGATTGTGCTCTCAGTGGGTTGAAGATCTCGTGAAGTTTTGTCTCTAGCATTTCAAGCCGGGCTAGTTGGTGGTTTGTTTGATTTTGGTAACTACTACAAGTTTCGGGCATTGACTTAACTCTCTCTACGTTATTACAGAGGCTTTCTATGGTACAATTTGCCTGTATAATAGGGAGAGAAGAGAAAATTGTCTGAAGATTTCTATTTCCGAGTTTTACCATCTGAAATGCAGGATGTAAGCCGTCAAATCTATTAGCTTTTCTCTATTATCCTCACCCTTTCAATGAATTTTGTTTTTCTATAATCACTTGATTTTTGCTTACTCTAATTAAAGAGTATACTGTGTTCTCTGTGATTGGCAGGCTAAAATATCATAGAACCTCGTGGTATGTTCATTTAGATGCTCCATCATCATCCATTTGTCTGCTAATCCAGTTAGAGCGGCCTGCTTCAGAAGAAGGGGAGTCACGCCGTCTGTTTATTCACGCAAAGAACCAGTACGTCCAATAACATCCTTATTTTCTTTCTTATTCTTATTAAACGGAAGAAACGGTATGTGAGGCTTTTTTTAAAATTTTTTTTCTTTTTAACTTTGAGCTTTTTGATCTTTTGTTTCTAATTAAAGATGCTGGGGGGAAGAGATCTTTTTTTTCTCGTTTACTTGCCTGTTCTTTTACTACCCTTTGGTTTGTAAGGTGTGTTAGCCCCTGAACTGTTTTACTGAAATCGTCCCTATAAAAAACCAAGTGTTGGTATATGATGCTGGCTTAGTAACTACCATGAGGTCAGGGTAGCAAAGAAAAAATAGAGATTTGAAGTTGGCTATGCAGGACACTGAAACATTACGATACACGATACGTATCATATGATACGATTCGATACAGGTTGTCAACGATATGTATCAGAGAGTGTATCATAAACTTTTTGATACGTTAATATGTATCCTACGATATGATACATATTTGTTCGTATCTTTAAAAATATCGATATAAATCGATACAACTTTATTATTTTGGGCCAAAGACCTAAAAGAAAATTAGAGTCGGAACTGGGTTACCCAACCCGGTTCACTGATACCTGCCAAATTTATTCATTTTGCATGGAGAAAGTGAAGAGGAACATGTGTTGCCCATTTTGCATGATAATAATAATACAAGTAGAGATATAGATATTGACATTGATCTTTGGAAATTATATGAATAGTTGAGAGAAAATAATATAGATTTTTAATTTTATGATTAATTTTGATAATGTAATATCATAATTTAAAACAAATAATACCACAAAATTCATTAATTAATCTTGGAGATGATATTTAGAAAATTTTGGGGTGCGTTTGGCTCTCTATTTCTATCCATATTTTCAATCATATTCTCCAAATATTGTTTGACATATTATTCCAATAATATTACTATATATTTTTAATTACTTTTAGACTCCTTAAGTTTATTAATTCCATTAAATATTCCCAGAAAAAAAGTTTAAAAATTAACAAAAACACCCCAATCAACCCATACTTGCCAGATTCCGGCAACCATCGTCGGTGGTGGCCGGAATCTAAACAACGGCCTACACTACGACCAGAATTGGCTGGTAGTTCACCGATCTGGGCGTCACTGATGGCCAAAGAAATGGCTATCGTTGACGGTCAATGACGGCCATATCTTTGGCCGTTGCTGACAGCCAAAGATGGACTTCTTTAGCTTTTTTCGACCGTCGATGGCCACATCTGGCAGTAGATTTAACATTTTCCAGCCAGATGAGTAGTGGATTTCGCCGAAAAAGACCATAGTGATGCGTTACAACATAGATCCGATCGGTCTGTGTCGTAACGCAGCGGGTGATAGAGGTGTTTTTGTCATTTTATATATTAGGGTGTTTAATTAAATTAGCAAACCTATGAGTTTTTTTATAAATTTTTAAATTTTACCTCGTAATACTCCCCTATTCAACTACCGAATATTATTCCCAAAATCTTATACAAAATAATAAACCAAACGCACCCTTTATTATTTTATTAATTTTTTTGAAAATATGTATCCTACGATACGCGATACATGATTCAAAAAATTAAGTTTTCGATACACGATACAATACGCGATTTAACAACCATGCTTTTTACTTTATTTGAAGATAGAAATTTAGGGTAGACATGTAAAATTATATGATGAATTATAAAAGAAAATATGTGAATCATAACTTTTTACTATAGATTTATAATTGTAACTATATATGATAGACTTATAATAGTGAGCGGTGATGATAAAAAAAAATTAAGGTATCAGTCAAACGTCAAACTTAGATTGATATTACATTATTCCACTTTATAAAAACATAATAGTACTAAATTAATCCCCTTTATATAAGCAAATTATATTTAATTATACAATAATTTTGTTTTTTATCTGTCTTTACCTAAACATTTACAATGATTGATACGAGAATTAATTAAAAAAGTAGACATAATAAAAAAATAAAAAAATTAAGTGGTTTGAAGAGAATACTTTAGATCCAAAGAAATAATAATTATTGCTTGCTTTTCTTAGAAGTTGGTACCAAGTTAGCAATAGGATTTTATAAATCAAAATGTGAATAATAAAAAATTGAAAAAAGTTAACCACTACATAATTGCTTTTATTTTAAGGTAAAGAAATTAAAGTGGAAGCAAATTTTTTATTGGAGACTATGTGAGTTTTTGGCAACATTTTTTTTATGTTTTCTTTTACTTCATACAAAAGCAAATTTCTAAATGTTATATTACAAACAATGTTTGTATACCCAAACCGGGCCTTGACCTAGTCAAGGGGTTGGTCCTTGGGTCGATAGTCTGATTAGCAGATTGAACCAGTGATGTTAGTATAATCGATCCGATTGATTGAAGCAGTAGTTAAATTGACGATTCGGTACTGTTCTGTTGGTTCAACCCTAAGTCAATCCGGTCTAACTGTTATAATTAGGTTTAGGATGTATCTAGATTGAATAAGGGTCCAACTCTCGGTCGAACCGATCGAATTGGTTGGTTCAGTCTGAATTTTAAAACAATGATTACAAATTCATGAATCAACTCTATCATCTCCACTCCATAGGAACTAAGAGATCCGTAAGGATGCCATCAAAATCCCAAATTCATCGACCAATCGTAGAATCCTGCATTTCTGCTTAGTAAGTGAATGCATTAGCTGTTCACTCCCACGTTGGAGAATCAAGGGTTAGAAAAGGATAATAACTAACAAGGTAAAAAGTCTAGCTAAATAGTTATGAATTTGAAGTGAATTATTTCCCAAAAATATATTAAAAAAAAACTTCTCAAAATACGATTATCTTTTTTTAAGAATAAGATCCTTTATTGATCTAATCGTTACTAAAAAATAAAAAAAAATCCGCCACACAACTAAAAATTAGATGCGTTGTTCTTAATGAAGAATTATAAAAACAAAAATAGTCGGAATACACTAGACTATCAAGTCTAACACCGTCTAATATTGTTTAATATGTTTTAATTATTCCATCGAACCATACTGTTAAATACTAAACTTGATATAAGACTATTTAATTTAAAATAATCTATGGTTATATATATTAGTAATATAATATTTATTATTTCATTAAGGTATAAATCAATTATTTTTTAAATAAATACTGCAAATTTTAGGATTTAAAACACCGGAACAATTTAAGATTCCAATGTGATCACGAGACTGTGGTAGGCTTATCAGTACCAGTACCGGGACCGGTACAATTTCAAACGGGCCGGGATAAAGCGTGGTCCTCCACCCAGATAAACATTTTTGGACTCGTTTTGACTCGTGTCTGTCGTCTACTTGACAGTGAGTTTCAAGTAGCGAGGGAGTCAAGACTCTCTCCCTCCCTCTCTCTCTCTCTTTCTCTTTCTCTCGCACTGTGGCGTTTTAGACGTAGTGGTGGTGCGGTTGGTGAATTGTTGTTTTCTCTGTCCCGAGAGATCTCGCATCGCATTACATAACTCGCGAAATGTACGTCTCTTCAAACCCTAGCTTCCTCTTTTCTCTCTCAGATCTGCCGAAATTTCGAATTATTCACGCGCATTTTCAGCTCTTTTAACAACATTCACGTTTTTCTTGTCAATTTCTTTTTTTGGAGAAGTTCGTTCAATGGATGGCTCCGGTAGCGGAGCTGCTAGTGGTGGTGGAGGAGGGGGTGGAGGTAGCCGGTTCAGGAGAATACCTCGCCAGTCTTTTGCTCATCTCAAGTTGGACCCTGTAGTGAGTGTTTTTCTTTTTAAAAATTGTTAGGGCTTTTTGTTAATTATTTGTTGCAATGTGAGTTGGTTAATTGAATTCTAGGTTAAGAATGTGTTTTGTGCTTGTGTTTGGTGATGGTTAATGCAGCTTGATGAGAATTTGGAGCAGTGGCCACATTTGAGTGAACTGGTTCAGTGTTATAGAAGTGATTGGGTTAAAGATGAGCATAAGTATGGTCATTATGAAAGCGTTAGTCCTCCATCATTTCAAACTCAGATTTTTGAAGGGCCCGATACTGATATTGAGACGGGTAATTGTTTTGTTTTATTTTATGTTGGGTTGTGTTTTGTAGTGTTTGTTGTTGAAGTTTGGTGTTTGTGAAATGACTTTGATATGTCTCTTTATGCAGAAGCGCGACTTGCTAGTGCGAGGCGAGGGAAGGCTGAAGATGGAACTGATGATGACATGCCAAGTACTTCTGGAAGACAATACTCCGATGCTGCTGATGTTTCGAAGGTTTTCTGTTTGGAGTATTTGTTTTATTGTCTCACTTTTCAACTTCTTTGTTCTTCCACTTTGTGACTTTGAAGATATGTTCATTTCTTATGATTTTTGACTTATCCTTTCTGCACTTTCTGATGTACTTGTAGCATTTTGGTCAATCTCCTCTCCCTGCTTATGAACCTGCTTTTGACTGGGAAAATGAGAGGTCAATGATATTTGGTCAAAGAATTCCAGAAACCCCTATGTCACAGTATGGCAGGTCTAAATCTTGTTGCATAGTATATGTCTTCTAGCAGCATTTCCAGTGGTTTTTTTTTCCTGAAAATTTATTTATATATCTTATCTGAGGGCTCCCCTTATTTCCTCGATTGTGCTCTCAGTGGGTTGAAGATCTCTGTGAAAGTTTTGTCTCTAGCATTTCAAGCCGGGCTAGTTGGTGAGTTTCTGTTTTATTTTGGTAACTACCACAAGTTTCGGGCTTTGACTTAACTCTCTCTCACGTTATTACAGAGCCTTTCTATGGTACAATTTGCCTGTATAATAGGGAGAGAAGAGAAAAATTGTCTGAAGATTTCTATTTCCGAGTTTTACCATCTGAAATGCAGGATGTAAGCCGTCAAATCTATTAGCTTTTCTCTATTTATCCTCACCCTTTCAATGAATTTTGTTTTTCTATAATCACTTGATTTTTGCTTACTCTAATTAAAGAGTATACTGTTTCCTCCTGTGATTGGCAGGCTAAAATATCATACGAACCTCGTGGTATGTTCTATTTAGATGCTCCATCATCATCCATTTGTCTGCTAATCCAGTTAGAGCGGCCTGCTTCAGAAGAAGGGGGAGTTACGCCGTCTGTTTATTCACGCAAAGAACCAGTATGTCCAATAATATCCTTATTTTTCTTTCTTATTTCTTATTAAACGGAAGAACCGCATATGTGAGGCTTTTTTTTAAAATTCTTTTTTTCTTTTTAACTTTGAGCTTTTTGATCTTTTGTTTCTCAATTAAAGATGCTGGGTGGAAGAGATCTTTTTTTTCTCGTTTACTTGCCTGTTCTTTTACTACCCTTTGGTTTGTAAGGTGTGTTAGCCCCTGAACTGTTTTACTGAAATCGTCCCTTATAAAAACCAAGTGTCTGGTATATGATGCTGGCTTAGTAACTACCATGAGGTCAAGGGTAGCAAAGAAAAAATAGAGATTTGAAGTTGGCTATGCAGACACTGAAACAAATTCTATGTCTTCTTACAAAATGTATGGATTATATTTCTCTGTAAGATGATTTTATTTTTTTGTACCTATCTGATTTCTGAACAGGTGCACTTGTCAGAGAGAGAAAGGCAGAAACTGCAGGTGTGGTCTCGGATTATGCCTTACAGAGAGTCCTTTGCGTGGGCTATTGTTCCGTTATTTGACAACAACATTGGTGCAGTTTCTGGTGGATCTGCTTCCCCTAGCAGTCCTCTTGCTGCCAGCGTGTCTGGATCAAGTTCCCATGAGGGTGTGTTTGAGCCCATTTCCAAGATCACGTTAGATGGGAAGCTGGGATATTCAAGTGGAAGTTCCATTGTAGTTGAAATATCCAACTTAAATAAAGTAAAGGAAAGCTATACCGAGGAGTCACTTCAGGTGTGGTGGTGGTCAGCTCTTTTGCTTTTTTAGCTATTGTAATGCCCTTGCTTGTTTTGGCTTATAATCTATGTATGAAATTGTTGCTAGTATCTAGTATAGTTGGTTGATTCTCACAGATCATATCCAAATATGTACACACACACATATCTGCTCATATGCTTATGTCAAGTATGGAAGATATCACTATAGCTTTTTGGCCCTTGTTTCATTGGGGCTTCATTTTCGCTCCAGCTAGACTGTTCCATACTTGTATTAGGTCACTGTGGCATCTTCTAATATTCTATCTCTTTTGGCCTTTCTAACAATTATAGGATCCTAAACGCAAAGTTCACAAACCAGTAAAAGGTGTTTTAAGATTGGAAATTGAGAAGCATCAGACAGGGCAAGCTGATTTGGAGAACATATCAGAAAGTGGCAGTGTGACAAATGATTCCATTGATTTAGGGGACCGTGTTACAGATTTGACTTTTGCTAAGTGCCCCAGTAATGGTTCAGATGGGCCTCAGACTAGCAACTCTAAGTGGACTTCCAGTGACGGGAAAGAAGTTTCTGGAAATGGGTCAAATGCATCAGATTTTAATGCCGATGATGTAAGTGCAACCCATTCTTGTGATGGTACTTGTTAACTAGCCTCTCCTAAGTGGTAATTTACCTCTTTTCTCAACACATTAACATAAGAAATGGTATGTAATTTTTATTTTGTTTTAGTTTTATTTCATTTGGAAGTTGATACAACCCTCATTTGGCTTATAGCATGTGTAAATTTTGCCATCAATTGATTTGTTGATTGATGCTTTTTTGTGTGCCACTCCTGGCTTGGTAAACTATGATAAGTATAGAGATGAAAGAGTCGATTATAAAGAAGTGAACTATATGAATTTGAGTGTGGTGATGAAGATAGCTTTGGCAATTTTAGAATATTGTTGTACAAAGTTTGCATTTATGCAGGTTTTCCTTAAAAGATGGTTCTCTTTCCAGAGCATAATTCTAACAGTTGACATTTTTGAGGTTGGAGCAATGATTCTCCTGTGCTATTCAGTTTTAAATTTTTTCTAAGATTCATGGTTGAATCAAGTTATGGTTTCCCTCTCATGATCAATAAACTATTACTTGACATGCATTGAAAGGAACATGAGTAATTAGGATCCCGTTGAAACCCTTTCGAAGTGGGGGTCTCCTTTTTATTCAAGTTCTAAACTGCGGAAGCCCCCCATTTATGTATTGCCTGATAGATTTTTGGTCCTTAATCCCATGTCCTTTTGATTCATGTATTTTGTGTGCTTAGAGAATTTTGATATGGATGGAACTTCCGGTCAACTCTTGCACCTTGAAATTTCTGTTACCAATTCATTAATACCTATGTTGATTAACTCTCAGTTTCAAGCTTTTGACTTCCGCACCACAACAAGAAATGAGCCCTTCTTGCAACTCTTTCATTGCCTATATGTATATCCCTTGAGTGTAAGTTTGAGTCGAAAGAGGAACTTGTTCGTTCGGGTTGAACTACGGAAGGATGATACTGATGTTCGTAGACAGCCTTTAGAGGTAAACCTGTTAATTGCTATTCTATATTAAGAGTTGTTTGCTTTCTGAACTTCTTCTTACTTGTTTTAGTGGGTTTGACTAATATGACTAGGCAATGTATCCGAGGGAGCCAGGCGTGTCACTCCAGAAGTGGGCTCACACACAAGTCGCTGTTGGGACTAGGGTTGCTTACTACCACGATGAAGTTAAAGTTTCACTGCCTGCTATCTGGACACCACTGCATCACCTTTTATTCACATTCTTCCATGTTGATCTGCAGACGAAACTAGAAGCTCCAAAACCTGTAAGTTGTACTTGTATTATCTTCTTAAAAAATCCATGTTGCTATATCATTCCTTATGTCTGAATTGTTATTATTATTTTTTAACTCTACAAAATGCCATGGAGCTTTGTCAATTTTCCTATATTTTCTGTGGGGATTATCATTTTGTTCATTCACTTAACAGGTAGTTATCGGATATGCGGCACTTCCATTGTCTACGCATGCTCAGTATGTATATTCTTTATATTTGATCTTCCTATTTCGTCTAAGAACTTAAATTAGAAAGTTTTCTTCCATATATATTTTTTTTTTTGGTGCACCATCATTTTACGATTGCTTATATTCATTTATTTCATGTTAATGTAAACAATAATACTATATTTACAAAGAAATCTTACAAAGATTTCCATACAAAGTGAGGTAGCAAAAAATGAATGGAAGAGTGAAACAAAAAGTCAAACTTATTATAATCACTTTTCTATTCATTTTTTGCCACATTATTTTGTATAAGAATCTTTATAAGATTTCTTTGTAAGTGTAACATTATTCTAATGTAAATCAACTTTTGTTATGCTTTAGTGACTCACAGAGCAAGTTAGAAAAAGAGGCATTGTAATTTTTCACTGGGATTGTATTTGTTTTAATTGGAGTATTAATATTTGGGATGTGCCATGTGAATTCTAGCACAGGTCTTATGTGAATGTGTTATAATTTAATTAACAGAATGTTGTTGGATTTTCGTCTTTCATTTCCCTTTTTTCTTCTTGTGATCCTTTGGTTCGTTCTAACTTTCATGTATTTTCTTTGTTAATATTAATTTTCTTCTGTTTCTTAACAAAAAAGAAAAAAAGAAAAAGAAGAACATGGAGTTAACACATGAGACCTCTTGGTTTACCTGGCTCTGATACCTTTTTAAGTAATCGTTAATCACATAATTATAGAGGAAATGATTCAACGTAAATGTCTAGATTGTAACCGATGGATTTCCTGACCAATTTGTGTAGTGTCATTTGGTGCTCGCAACTTTTAGAAAGTTGCAAGAAAGAATTTGATTTTGAATCATTTCAATTACACGATCTTGCCAAATTTATTTTAAGAGTTTAACTATCAATTATATTTTGAAGTACCATTGTTGATGTTAATAGCTATAATGTAATGAATATTCTCAGGTTGCGATCAGAAATTTCCTTACCAATAATGAAAGAACTGGTTCCACATTATCTCCAGGATTCAGGCAAGGTATGTATGAGCAGGATATAATCGATATATATTATATGTCATTATTTATATTATGAGATGTTTTATTAAATATTATATCTGATTTGATGTGTCTTTCTTCCTCTCAATATTTTCTGGTTGCACATCAAATTTAGCCTGAGTTTACAAAACGGTTTGATTGTCTTCCACTTTTTAATGCTTTATTAACTAAGGAGGCGCAAAAAAGGGGAAAAAAAAGAGTAGAAACGGGTAGGTGATATTATAATGTTAAGATTTGACTTTTTCTAACTAATTTTGACCAATTGCATCTTTGCTTTTTTGCGTGTAAGGCTTCAATTCTTTTTATGCATTTCTCCTGCCTGAGTTATTGAAATAATCGTATTAATTTAGTTGAGATTGGCCATTATTGTTGCTGCTTATGAACAATATCTGAGGTCTTATGGGCTGGAAACTCTTACATTTTATGTGGAATAATTTTCGTCTTGTTGAAAAGATGATTCTATTCTGAGACAGCAGGTATTTTTTTTGGCCTGAGAATTTTGGTTTATCTTCTGGATTATCCTTATGGTTATTACCATTTGATAGGAGAGGCTGGACTATCTGGAAGATGGCAAAACTGCTTTTAAATTGCGCTTAAGGCTTTGTTCATCTTTGTACCCTGTTAATGAACGGATTAGGGATTTCTTTCTTGAGTATGATAGACACACTCTTCGAACAAGCCCACCTTGGGGTTCTGAACTTCTGGAGGTATTCTTTTGGTTATTGCATTTTCTTTCACTTCTTTTTGTGCATTCTTGTTTATCTTTCACGTGGGTGTTCATAATTATAATTGATCTCATTAGTTTTAGGTCTCCAATGAAATCAATTGTAAGCATATGCAAACTTATGAATGTAACCTGTTATGGCGTAAATGCCACATTAGGCCTTACCTATCAGCTCTTAAAGTTTTTGGTCAAGTGATTAAATTGTATCAGAGCCAGGTCAAACAAGTGGTCTTATGCTATAATCCCCCATTGGATTAAATAAATACAATAAGTTTTGTTGGTGTATATTCTTGTATTTGTGCACCTTGAAGTCATGTCTTGCATGTGAAGGGACATGTTAAAGCTGAAAAATTGTTTGCTGTTCCCTTACTGTGAAATTTTGAATCCAGTAATTACCTAACATTAGTAAGGAAGAAGTCAAGGCCAAGTCGTTTTTTGTAGTATAATGGTATATATGTGTGTTGGTGCACCTCCCCCCCCCCTCAGAGTTGTTGCAATTGTAGCTGTAATGTGGAATTCCAGTATTATCTGTAATCAGTCATGGCTTAGCAACATCAATAAAGTTTGAAATAATAAATTGCAGAGAAATATTTATAACAGTTTCCTTCGCGAAGTTATTAGGCAAGAAAAAGTGTGCAGAATAAAGCAGAATAGAGGTGGGACTGGGGCTTGGACAATGAGGAGGTTTTAGTATATGGAAACTTGTGTTATCATTCTGGGTTCTTTTGGTAATATCAATATGTCTTTAATAGTCTCAATATTGCCTTATGTATATAATTTTTAGAGATTATTTTATCTATTAGGAATAGGGTTCTTTTTGCTGTGCTTCATATTACACGTATTTGTTACTACATTTTAAATTGCGTGGAATGGGATTTGAGTAAGCCAAATTTGTATAATTTCATTTGCAGGCCATCAATAGTTTGAAGAATGTTGATTCCACTGCTTTGCTTCAGTTTCTTCATCCGGTTTTGAATATGCTTCTCCATCTGATAGGCAATGGCGGAGAAACACTTCAGGTTTTCAGATGACTTTTTGCCTGTAGCTTCCTTTGCAAATCTGTCACTGATCACTAAGTCATATTTCTGAGTTTCTTCTTTCAATAGTGGTCTTAACGTGTGTCCTAGGGGCACTTGTTAATGTTACAGAATTACAAAATTTTGATTATAACAAATATGTCCTTAGGGCATATGTTAAGACCACTTTTTTTCCAGTGCAATATGTTCTTTGTTCTCATGTCTGTTAATTTTTCTTTACTATTTTACTTTCTTTGAACTTTATGCCTTGTATTGCCATTTCAATTATTGTTTTTTTTTTCTGTTGCTTCAGGTTGCAGCCTTCAGAGCCATGGTTAATATCTTAACTAGGTATGCTTTCCAGTGTGTTGATTTACTTGGGCTGGGGGTTTTATTTTTCATAAATGAATATATACCATCACAAGTGTCTGTGAGATAGCTCTCAGTGTCTAGTCTTTTCGAAGAATTTTGAGTGCTTATTTTTGTATATAAATATTTCTGAGAGCACTGTGGTAGGATAAGAATTTTAGAATACGAAAATCAACTTAATAATACATCCACTTCATGTACTTTTATTTGACATGGAAGCAAGTAGGTAGGCTTTTGTATTATTTAATCTTTTATACTTATTATATCTTGGCCTTCAGTTTAAAAGGGGTTTCAAGATGCATATTTTTATTTTTATTTATTTATGCATCTTAATTGCGAAGGAGCCTTGGGATGTTTTTGGATAGATAAATTTCATTTTGGATTAGGAATAGGATGATATATATTGTGGGTTAACCACAAATTTTCTGAGGCTGTTTTGTTCAACTTGGATACCCCTCAGGTTTTTCAAGATTCTATTTTTGTTGATATCCATCTTAATCAGCATGGAGTCTTGGGGTAATTTTGGATGGATAAATTTTATTTCGGTTTAGGAAGGGGATGATATAATTTTGAGCCTTCAACAGTTGCTTCTGGGCTGTGTTGGTATAAGTTAGATACCCCTCAGGAATTTTTGTTTTGGTTGTTGTATGCCTGTTTACACTGGAGTCACTTCTTAAATCACTATTAATACAGTTCCTTTAGTTTCTTATTGGAAAAAAGCAAGTGGATATTGGGCTAGCCTTTTCTGTTTTATCATTGCATTTTAATTTTTATATCTAAAATGTGCCGAGTTTTGTTGTGTAGGGTGCAGCAGGAGTCAGTTGACGATGCTGAGCGGAATCGTTTTCTTGTCAACTATGTAGATTATGCCTTTGATGACTTTGGTGGTCGTCAACCTCCTGTCTATCCTGGTTTGTCCACTGTGTGGGGTAGCTTGGCTCGCAGTAAGGTATTCTAGTGAAACTGTTATGCCCATTGGTGAATAAGCTCATTGGTGAATAAGCATTAGCTTATTGCTATCACAACCATTATTAAATTTGTGTTTATTCGTGTGTTGCTCTTTTCTCCTTAAAATATCTAAAATATCTTCTTTAAAACATGTGGCCTTAATAAGGAAAAGAAAGGCTCCCTTTAACACATGATTCTGCAATTAACATACAAAAATTAGTATTTTTGGGGAATGTCATCTTTGGAAATTTATGATTGCTCCCTTTCTGTGTTGGTTTCAAATGAATTTCATGGACATTCCTTTTGCTTTTATTCCTTTTTTATTTGTTTATTTTTCTATGAAGGGATTTGAAAACTGTTGTCTGATTTGATTGTTGCCTTTAATTGTCTTCTCTAGCTGTTATGATTTTACTCTTTGGTACTGCTGGTCTACTTCAAATTTCTCTTTAAAGCTTGTTGTGTCTTAATAAAAAAATTAAAACTGTTTAAGACTGATTTTCTTCTTTCCAGTTCCCTGATTAACGACTATTCTGCAGGCTAAGGGTTACCGTGTAGGACCAGTATATGATGATGTTCTTGCAATGGCTTGGTTTTTCCTTGAGCTAGTTGTTAAGTCAATGGCACTGGAGCAGACACGTCTTTTCTATCACAGTCTTCCATTAGGTAGGTCCAAAAACTAGGAAATTTCATTCTATCATCCCTAGCATTTGCTTTGATCATCTTAGTATTGTCTAAAGCAATGCTATTTATCTTTTGTTTCTGAATCGGTCTATATTTTAATATAGGCCTGTCTGTTCTTATATGGCAATATTAAATAGTTTTAGTTTTTTTAATTTTATATATCTTCAGTTGATTTGAAGAGCACTATTTCGTTCCACCATTTAATTGCTCTGGAGTGTATTTGGTTGAAATTCTCTTGCTGCTTTGTTGATTTCCTTTCAGTATGTGTTTTTCTTGTTCTATATTACATCAACTGTATTGTCCATGGTGAATTTAAAATGTTAAATGTCAGTCAAAATCCTGTCATGTAAAATAAAATTTTGAATTAATTCTTTTGTTGATATTGTTTTCTCAACATTTATTTGGTTTTTACTTTATGACATAGGTGAAGATGTTCCCCCAATGCAACTGAGAGATGGTGTATTCAGATGCATAATGCAGCTGTATGATTGCCTTCTTACAGAAGTGCATGAGCGTTGTAAGAAAGGGTTAAGCCTGGCAAAACGCTTGAACAGTAGCTTGGCCTTCTTTTGCTATGACCTTTTGTCCATTATTGAACCTCGGCAAGTCTTTGAACTGGTATGCTTTTCATCTAATTGCCAGGCTTAAATTCATCTGCTGACATGCTCATTTGATGGATGTATGTCTAGGTGGAATATTATAATACCTTTAATTTACAATTATTATTGTTGTTACTTTTCGACAAGAGATTCACCATTAGATATTGATACATGGCTTTGGTACAACATCAGTAGGCTTGAAAGACTTATTACAGGTCAAGCACATGACATCCCCTAGACTTTATGAGGACTATAACAGCTGACACCTTTACAAGTTTTGATGATAATGCAAATTCTTGCTTGCTAGCTACTCACTGTATAAAATCCAACTCAATAAACTCACTGTTTCTGGTATATTTGCCCCCAAAGTTTTAATGCTGTAACCTCCTTTTAGTACAGAGAGATCAGAATTGTAGCTGGAATATTTACACAATTAATTTTGTACCCCTGCAGGTGTCCTTGTACCTGGACAAGTTTTCTGGGGTATGCCAGTCAGTTCTGCATGATTGCAAGCTCATATTCTTGCAGATCATATGTGATCATGATCTTTATGTGGAAATGCCAGGAAGAGACCCTTCAGATAGGTACTTTAACAATTGAAATCTTCTGCCCTTTTTTTTCTTCTTAATTAATACCTTTACTACTTCCATATGGTAAATTTGGTGTTTCGAGAACATATCAATATGCTTTTCATAACCTGTGGTTTTTTGTTCAGTTACTCTAATTATTGAAAGATGCTATCATTTTTCCTATTTGGTGATGTGTAGTTAATTTTGTTTGCTTGACTGAGTACATTGTAATGTTTAGGAACTACCTTTCATCTGTCTTGATACAAGAGCTTTTCCTAACTTGGGATCATGATGATTTATCTCAGCGAGCAAAGGTTAGTTCTATAACATTAGATTGGACTTGCCTTTGATTCAATTTAATAACTACATAGTACTATTGTTCTAGTTTCCAATTTAAAGAGAAAAAAGCACGCTATCGTTCTTGTGAAATATATTTATATTTCACAAGAATGGTAGTGTGTGTGCATATATATATTGTGTTTATTTTATTGTAACTTAAATCTTTTTGCGAATGAAGGCAGCTAGAATCTTAGTCGTCCTCTTGTGCAAGCATGAGTTTGATGCTCGATACCAAAAGCCTGAGGATAAGCTATATATTGCTCAGTTATATTTTCCACTTATTGGCCAGGTACATGGTATTTTTGATATTTCTGTCTTGATATTTTACATTATAAACATTATCTTTCAGTTATATAAATCTTCATTTGCATTTCCTGAAAATGCAAAGTTAAATGGTGTATTCTTTAGCATATACAGGCATCTATTGCTTGAATTAAATATCTGAATATCTTGTTTTTATACTGGAGGAACTCTATTTGAACAGTATGCTGGTAGCATAACAAATATGTTGTGCATTCTAATTATGGAAAAAATAAAAAACCTTATAACATGGAGTATAACACTGCATTTTATCATTCTACCCTAAAGGTGATTGATTTAGACAGTAACAATATTAGATTAGCGTATTTATATACCAGTATAATATCCCTGGGAAAATCATTTGTAAAATACAAATGAATTTTTTTTTGAAGTACGGGTGTTTCCTAAGAACTTCTGATTACTAGTGGAAGTTAAGGCACAGTAATGTGAAAAAACAAAATCATGACAATGGCATCATTATTTTTTTTCTCTTTTGGTGCAAAAGATTCCAATTTTTATAAGCTGGGCAAAATACATCTTTTTATATGACCATAAAGGTAGAGACAAGAGTTAAACAATGCCAACTCATGCATCACTTGATTAAATCTCATCACTCAGTTTTTTCCTATAATTGCCAGTCGGGGTGCACTGACCTAGTGCTTGTCACCCTGCCTGGAAATAATATCTTTAAATTTTGATTTTAATGACTTTTGTGATATGTGCAGATCCTTGATGAAATGCCTGTCTTTTATAATCTAAATGCTGTTGAAAAGCGTGAAGTTCTAATTGTCGTATTGGAAATTGTGCGGAACCTGGATGATGCATCGCTAGTGAAAGCTTGGCAGCAAAGCATAGCTCGAACCAGATTGTTTTTCAAACTCATGGAGGAATGCCTGAGTCTGTTTGAGGTTGCTTCTAATTTGAACATTCAAGTTCCATTTCCATCAATGTGACTGAGTCTGTTAGGTCCATTTTTATGTCTTTTTTCTTTTTTACATCATGGATAAAGGCATAATTGACATGGTTTGAGTTTACCATATATAATTTCTGCTTTGACTATTTTCAAGGTTTAAAATTGATTGTGGGGCTAATTTGCTTTTAGATGTATCTGATGATTTTACTGTAAAATTAAGCTGTTTTTTGTGTAAATTATATCACACTGGATTTTTTGTTTTTTAGTTATTATGAATTCCCACACTCAAATCAACAGGAAGTGATCAGCTTTCCCTCTACATAATTATAATATGAAACTCATGTTAACCAATTTCTTCTTTTACATGTTAAATTTATTTCTCATGGTACTATTGCTTGCTGTTCTTTGTTACTTATTAACTAAGTCTGCATGATATATCTTACAGCACAGAAAACCGGCTGATGGAATGCTTTTGGGTGCTAGTTCTCGCAGCCCTGTTGGTGAGGGTCCTTCTTCCCCAAAATACTCAGATAGACTCTCACCTGCAATCAACAATTACTTGTCTGAGGCGTCAAGACAAGAAGTCAGAGTGAGTCAATTATCTTGACTGCTCTTTATTATAGAATTAATGGCTTCATCTTTCTTTCTTTGGTTGGTTCTTGTATTTACTGCCTGCTGTGAAGTTATCCTTCAATCACCAAATTTCATTAGTGAAACGCTTCTTGACTCATCTTGCTGTCTTTTTTGGTTTTAATACTCAAACCTCTTCAATTTTTCTAATGCAGCCACAGGGAACTCCTGAAAATAGTTATTTGTGGCAGAGGGTGAATTCCCAGTTAAGCTCCCCTAGCCAGCCATATTCACTGCGAGAAGCTCTTGCTCAGGCACAATCTTCTAGGATTGGAGCTTCGGCCCAGGCACTAAGAGAATCCTTGCACCCAATTTTGAGACAGAAGTTGGTATGGTTTTATGTCAAAATTTCATATTTTAATTTGGTTTCTGTAACTGCACTGTTCAATTTCTAAAGTTATCTGGTCTTTCTCTAGATTATTCAATTGTTTTTGTTGCTTTAGGAAGCTGATAGTTTTTACATCCACTTCAGGAACTTTGGGAAGAAAATTTGAGTGCTGCTGTAAGTCTTCAGGTTTTGGAAATAACTGAGAAATTCTGCATGATGGCTGCCTCTCATAGCATTGCCACTGATTATGGAAAACTTGATTGCATCACCGCCATAGTTATGAGTTTCTTCTCCCGGAATCAGCCAGTTGCTTTCTGGAAAGCTTTCTTTCCTGTCTTCAATCGTGTTTTCGATCTTCATGGGGGAACACTAATGGCTAGGGAGAATGACCGCTTCTTAAAGCAAGTTGCATTCCATCTTCTTCGGTTGGCAGTTTTCCGAAACGACAGCGTCAGGAAAAGGGCTGTTGTCGGGCTGCAGATACTTGTGAGGGTAGGCTCTTTGAGATCTAAAGAATTGCTGCTGCTACTGCCACTGCTACTGCTACCGTTGTTCTTACTAGCCTATGTATATTATTTCTTTCTTTTTTTGCAGAGCTCTCTCTACTTTATGCAAACTGCAAGGCTGAGGGTTATGCTGACAATCACATTGTCAGAGCTCATGTCTGACGTTCAAGTAACTCAAATGAAATCTGATGGAGCACTAGAAGAGAGTGGAGAAGCAAGGCGGCTTCGAAAATCAATGGACGAAATGGCAGATGAATCTAAGAGCCCCAGCCTTAAGGAGTGTGGACTTCCTGAGGATGCTTTATTTGCTGTTCCAGAAAATTTTTCAGAGAATCGGTGGTCTTGGTCAGAAGTGAAATATCTGTCTGACAGTCTTCTTCTGGCCCTTGATGCTAGCCTGGAACATGCACTTTTGGTAAGTTCAAATGATTTTAAAGATTTTACTTGCGACTGCAGTGAGACTGCGTTTTTTAGTTGGAGAGGGCTTGGGAGTGGAGGTTGTTTCCTGTTTTGTGAATTTCCAGTCTGTGCCAGATTCATGTTGGGTTTCAGTGATTTTGTCTGTACTGTCTTTGTTGTTGCACAAGTATGGGAAATGGTTGTTTCTTTCATGTTTTCTTCAAAATCATGTTGTGCGGCTTGGCTCTTCTGTTAGGTTCTTGTAATCTTTAACTGTGTGGCAATGCATGTCTTTGAACCGCCAGATTTACTTATTATTCTTGTATGCCATTATACTACCTGCTTTGCCCTGAATCAGCTTGTAGTCTTGTTAAACATGGCTGTTCTAAGTCAGATAGTTAGTCGTGACAGTTTTAAGAAAGATTATTCCTGGAATGTCTTCAGAGGATAGATTCCTGGTCCCAAACCATCCTCGGTCACTTTACTTACCTGCATGTTGCTATATTGCTTGTATCTAGAATGTGTATCTTATGTTGAACTAATACTTACCTGCCTGTTGCTATTTTTCTCGCAGGGTTCTGTAATGACTATGGATAGATATGCAGCTGCGGAAAGCTTCTATAAACTTGCAATGGCATTTGCTCCTGTCCCGGATCTTCATATAATGTGGTTGCTCCATTTATGTGAAGCACATCAAGAAATGCAGTCTTCGGCTGAAGCAGCACAGTGTGCTGTTGCTGTTGCTGGTGTTGTCATGCAGGTAGGATGCTTTACCGGATGCTTGCAATGCAAATTTTTAAGTAACACCACGTTGGTGATCTGAGTATTGCCATTCTTAAAATTTGAATATGGTGTTTGGGATACAATAGTTTCTAGTGCCTCTTGTCAAAACATAGTTTCCACTTTCTACTGCCAAGTACAATTTTCTTGCAAAATGATATATTAGCTACACATGCAACTGGATGGGAAGACTTGGGTTATTCTCTGCCTGTCGTACATGAAATGAACTACTGCAATGACTCCTTTTAAAACTCCTAATGCATGTTTCTTCTATTACTGTGATCCTGTGATTCAACTACATTTGTTGATTTGGTCTAATTGTTGGCCTTTCTACATTCTGAAAAGCTAATCCAATAATTTGCTTGGGTGATTCTTTATTTGTATATCTTCCATGTTAACTGATCTTTCTGATATATTCTCTGCAGGCCCTTGTGGCAAGAAATGATGGTGTTTGGAGCAAAGATCATGTGGCTGCTCTCCGTAAAATTTGTCCCATTGTCAGTAGTGAAATAACTGCCGAGGCTTCTGCAGCCGAGGTGGAGGGTTATGGTGCTTCAAAGCTCACTGTTGACTCTGCTGTGAAGTACCTACAGCTGGCAAATAAGCTCTTTTCTCAAGCTGAACTCTATCATTTCTGCGCTAGCATTCTAGAACTTGTTATTCCAGTGTATAAAAGCAGGAGAGCGTATGGACAACTGGCTAAATGCCACACATTACTCACTAACATCTATGAATCAATCCTGGAGCAGGAATCAAGCCCAATCCCATTTACTGATGCTACATATTATAGGGTTGGGTTTTATGGTGAGAAATTTGGGAAGCTGGACAGGAAGGAATACGTGTACCGAGAACCCCGTGATGTACGATTAGGTGACATAATGGAGAAGCTTAGTCATATATACGAGTCCAAGATGGATGGCAATCACACATTGCATATTATTCCAGATTCAAGACAAGTGAAGGCAGATGAATTGCAGCCTGGAGTCTGCTACCTACAGATAACTGCTGTTGAAGCAGTCATGGAAGATGAAGATTTGGGGAGCAGAAGGGAAAGAATCTTCTCTCTTTCCACTGGAAGTGTCCGTGCCCGTGTCTTTGACCGATTTTTGTTTGATACTCCATTCACAAAAAATGGTAAGACCCAAGGTGGTCTTGAAGACCAATGGAAGAGGCGAACTGTTCTCGAAACAGAAGGTTCCTTCCCAGCATTGGTGAATAGGCTCTTGGTAATCAAGTCCGAATCCCTTGAATTCTCTCCTGTGGAGAACGCAATTGGGATGATCGAAACACGAACAGCTGCACTACGAAACGAGCTTGAAGAGCCTCGCAGTTCTGAAGGTGATCAACTCCCACGCCTTCAGAGTCTGCAAAGAATCCTTCAAGGCAGTGTTGCAGTTCAGGTAAGTGGCGTTGTTGTCGAATTGGTTCTCTTTACAAGTATATCCATTTTCATCTATAACAAAAAATTACATGTATTCAGGTGAACAGCGGAGTTCTGAGTGTTTGCACAGCCTTCCTATCCGGCGAGCCCGCAACAAGACTACGTTCACAAGAACTGCAGCAACTCATCGCTGCACTCCTCGAATTCATGGCTGTCTGCAAGCGTGCCATACGAGTACACTTTCGACTCATTGGAGAGGAAGACCAAGAGTTCCACACACAGCTTGTGAATGGATTTCAGTCACTCACTGCAGAGTTATCTCATTACATCCCCGCCATTCTCTCAGAGCTATGAAAGTCTCTCTCGGCTGCAGCAAAAATTTGTTGATAGAATTTTGTAATTTTGTATTTGCCTACGATTTGTACACATATTTCACTGATGTTAATATATGTAACCAATGTGCTTGTGTACTATTTTTTCCTTCTGGGCAATTTTTTTGTTTTTCTGTTTTATTGGCTTCAAAATGTAATGGTGCTGCCCCTTTCCTTTCTATGCATTCTTTTGCCCAAGCATTTGTGCTAATTGTGTGAACAGCTGATACCATCCAAAGTTACATTACTGGGGTAAATATGGCTTTGAAATTGGGCAACTTATTGTCCCGGTATATCGACAGGTGTCGTTTGAAGATTCCGTTGACTCGATCAGGACATGGATAAAATGGTAAATTAGTAAGGATTTAAATATGATTCCAATTTTTCCAATTAGATTTATAATCTAAGTAGAGGAGGATATATTTTCTTATTTCTATATTTCAAGAGCGAAATTGGCCTATTCTCAGTCATATTTTATAAAGTTTTGTATTCGGGTTTACGATTCAAGTTCGGGGATTTCTGAATTATTAAAAAATATATATATGCACTAAAGGATTTTTGTTATTATGATAATTCTTATCATAAAGATTGCCATAGATAAATCAATTATCATTTAGTAAGATTGCGTCAATCAATGTTTTAATAACTAATCCGGAGTGAAACCTGACAGAGTTGTTGGGTCTTAGGTTGAACCGTTTGATCGGCCAGTCAAATTGGGTCTCAAAAGGGTTATAAATTTAGCAAATACGCTTCAAAAAATTATAGTTAAACTGATTCAATCGGTGAGTCGAGTTGGGTTTTAAAACACTAGTTTCAATTTCTTTATATAGGAGTTATAAAATATGAATGATCTTTTAAAGTGTGCTTTTAGTGAAAACTAAAATCATTTAAATTAAAAATTGTAACGATCAATAAAGCACATTAATGTATTTTGGTAGGTTTATGCTCTTTAACAGCGCATGCAAAAACCTAAACAGAGTTATTAACAGCTAACTATCAGGTCTTCTGTGATCATTTACAAAACCTAGGGGTGTTCAATTATTAATTCAAATCTTAAGGGGTGGTCTGATCGAACAGAGAAGAAACTTTAAAGGTGAGTTTTAAGTAACCCCATTTACTTTGCTACGTTTAGAAAAAACCCTTTTATAAACCACTCTATATTGCCCATCTCTGTTTAATTATTCCAAACCCGAACAACTCAACAGGGGAAGTCCTTGAAACTTAAGCCCTGGATTCTGTTCAAACTCTTGCGTTTCTCTTCAATACAGCCTCATTCAATCCAACAACTTGAGGCTTTTCAACTGACAATAATGTTCGAAGGGCTGGTGCGTCAGCTGTTGCTGGGGTATTTAGGCCGATACGTGAAAGATATTCAGAAAGAGCAGCTGAAAATCACTCTTTGGAACGAAGAAGTTTTGTTGGAAAACGTGGACTTGATTCTTGAAGCCTTCGATTATCTCCAGTTGCCTTTTGCTCTTAAACAAGGCCGTGTTGGGAGGTTGAGCATCAAAATTCCGTGGAAAAAGCTCGGCTGGGATCCCCTTATTATCACTCTGGAAGATGTTTTTGTTTCTGCATCTCAACGGGATGACCAAGAGGTAACTTTTGAAACCCACTTGGGGAAATGTTATTTTGATCAGTTGTAATGATAAGGGTCATTTTTATTTTGTCACGTTCCGCGTTATTTGTTACTGAAATTGTTAATTTATGGTATTATTTGTAGTTAGGTTGTTGTTTAGTTGTAAGTTCAATGCATAAGGTAATGTTTGGAACCCACATTGGAAATAGTGGAGTATTGGTCTGGTAATGTTACTGGATCAGTTGTGATGAAAAAGGTTCATTTCTATTTGTATAAAATGATATGGTATAGTATAGTATTATTCATATTAGTTACTTATTCACTGCCAAATGGAATGCTTAAATGTTATACAGTGCAAAAAATGGTTACCTTTAGTACTATGTTACACTTTTTGTTTTGCCAAAAAGAGAGTATTATTAGCATGCGTATTTATGAACTAGAATAGTTAAATGTGATGCGAAGTTGGTAATATTATCAATTATGCGCTTTATGTTTATTAAAAGTGAGCTCTAGTTAATTTTACAAAGGTAACGTTTTGAGATATTGAAATCTGTTGTCATTGGTAATGTTACTAGGATATAGCATGTTCTTGTATGTTTATGAAAGACATGATATTGATGTCTCTAGTTGAATGGATTTGTACTGTTTTGAAATTTGTGGCAGTGGAGTTTGGAGGAAGTTGAAAGAAGAGAATTTGCTGGAAAAAAGGCTAAACTTGCTGCTGCAGAGCTGGCAAAGTTGTCTAGGCGCGTATGTGGTGAGCTTTTGACTTCCGTATTCAAATTTCAGTTATGTCTTTGATTTCACAGAATATTGTTTAGAATGCAACTGAATGCATTGGTTATACAATTATAGTTACACTTATAATCTTCTCAACCTTGCCTCATCCATTATCTGTTTGTATTTTCTGGAACTTACTATGATATGATGATCCTTTCTTTTCACAATTATGGAATGAAAATGTTCTTTAATATTCATGCATACTCCACTAAACTTAACTCGAGAAATAGGTCTTCCCAAACTTGGTCTTGGTGATGATTTTGCTTGGTTAGCCTACATGTGTAGAAATTCTAATTTTTTCCTTCTTCAAATTGTATCCTGAAACATCATTTATCTTTTGGTTTTGTTACATGCATTCTGTTCAGAAATCTAAGAGTTTTTTGGTTAAATGTTCTTGTCTATCACTGGGAAGCTATTATTCTAATACATGTTTATGCATTTTGAAAGTTCTAAAGTTTAGAATATAGATACTTGTGGGTGACAGAGGAAGACTTGGAAAGTGAGGGTGCAAAGGGGAGAGAGAGAGGGAGAGAGAATCACGGTCTTGAATTACTAATAGTAGGACCTGGCTATGGTCACTTGGAAATTCTGAGGTATTTTATTAGGAATCTGTTGCCTTATAGGAACCATGAAAGTTTTGAGAAATATACTAGCTAACGGGTGCTACTCTGATAGACCATTATAAGGTTTGCAATCAAGATTATTTAAATAGAGTAATACTACACGTACAAACAAATCTTACAAAGATTTCTATACAAACTGATGTGTTAGAAAATGAATAAAAGAGTGAATATGATGAGTTTGACTTTTTGTATTCACTATTCTATTTATTTTCTGCCACATCAGTTTGTATAAAATTTTTTGTAAGATTTGTTTGTATTTCTAGCACTATTGATTTAAATAAAGTCTTGCTTGTGTTTGCTGATTTCTTTAATAGTCATAAGATTTTTATGGGTCATTCTTCTTCATGTTTTGTATATACTTATTTATTTATTTTGGGCTAGCATGTGGTGATCTTATTGTGTTTGCTTGTATTCACTTTGGAGCACTTGTTGCTGATACTTTGTTCTACTCTCTGCAGATAATCAGACTGGGCAATCATTTATTTCATACATCACTGCTAAGGTAACATAACTCTTAATGGAAATTTGTTATGTTAACTTGTTAAGGTTATAGAGCAAATTGAAGTTTGATTTCTTTTTACTTTATTTAGAGGGATTGGATGGTTGTGTCTTAATTTCCGGAATTTTTTTTTTTTTTTGTCATTTTGAGGGAGCTTTTGTCGTGAAGTTGTTGAAATCATGTTTATTTATTTAATTTTTTTCTATTCATGGACTTTGGTTCACCCCTTTGTATATTAATTTTATTTTAGTGAAATTATTTGGTGTATTATCAAAAGGAAAGACCTATTTTCTTATGTTAATTGATTTTTGATGTGTTGTANGTGTTTGCTTGTATTCACTTTGGAGCACTTGTTGCTGATACTTTGTTCTACTCTCTGCAGATAATCAGACTGGGCAATCATTTATTTCATACATCACTGCTAAGGTAACATAACTCTTAATGGAAATTTGTTATGTTAACTTGTTAAGGTTATAGAGCAAATTGAAGTTTGATTTCTTTTTACTTTATTTAGAGGGATTGGATGGTTGTGTCTTAATTTCCGGAATTTTTTTTTTTTTTTGTCATTTTGAGGGAGCTTTTGTTGTGAAGTTGTTGAAATCATGTTTATTTATTTAATTTTTTTCTATTCATGGACTTTGGTTCACCCCTTTGTATATTAATTTTATTTTAGTGAAATTATTTGGTGTATTATCAAAAGGAAAGACCTATTTTCTTATGTTAATTGATTTTTGATGTGTTGTATTTGAATTTTATGATTCTTTTCTTCTGTAACTTCTCTCTTTTACTTCTAGGTTCTTGATAGCATCCAAGTTTCTATTAGAAACTTCCACATTTTGTACAGTAATATGCAACTTGACTCGGTATGTTACCTATATGCTATGTCTTTTGCTCATTTCTCTATGCTTTTGATTTCTTCTGTTGTATTATTGATTTATGAGATTGAATTTTGCTAAAGCTTGAAATCGAAATGTGGTTGGTATTGGAACCTTTCTTATATGGTACAAGAGTAGATAAAAAATACTCGAGTGAGAAGATCTCCACTTATAGGGGTGTTAAAAACTATACAAAAAAACCTCACAAAACTCTGTGTATCTGTCTAGATTAACTGTGGAGGAACCAGGAAATTACATTTTGGGGGCCTAAGTGTAATATTTAACTAATGAAGGGACCAAATAAAAGGTATATTTAAATATTGCATTGTTAAGTTTTAATGAATAACGGGGGTCAAAGGTAAAAAAATGAAGTTTAAGGGATGAAATTGATATATTTATACATAAAATTTAAGAAATTTTAAGGTAGGACAGGTCTGCCACTGCAGATTAAACAATCCACAAAAATTATATTAAAACCAGACCATTCTAGTTAAGGTGAATAGAGAACTATGTGGAAGCTTTGGCAATGGAGTTTTTAGGATGTAGAGAAGATTTTAGGTTCTCCAGGCCTCCATTGTTTTTCTTTTGGTTCTTTGAGTACCATAAAGCTGAATGTCCAGTTAAAACATGCTTTCCCTGAACCTTAAAAATTATATTAATTGGTCAATAAGTTTTGTTTCTCGAGTATCATGTTTCATTAATTATCTTGAGTAACAATTTATTTATTAAAAAGAGCTTGAATTAGGATGCATTATGCAGGCACAGATGATGTTCGGCTTGAAGTTTTCCAGCTTGACGATTATGAAGCAAAATATGGTTGGGTAAACTTTTCTGTTCTTTCCCTGTACCCTATATATATATATATATATTAATTTTTTGTCCTTTTCTTTTCTTATTTTTATTGTTATGGTTTTGGACTAGATATTATATTCTAAAGTGCACATTTTTTTGTGGCAGGGCTAGAGCGGGGCATGTAAACAAAAGTATTGAGGTTAAAAGTTTGGAGATTTATTGTAGTACATTCCAATCAGATGCTAATTTGATGAGTTCGGACAACACTGGAGATTCCAAATGCTGGAGCATTGTAACAGCTGAAGGTGATGAAAGCAATAAATTCAACCATATATTGAAACCATTGGATGTCTTAATATCACTTACGGTATGCATGCTTCCACATAAATAATGTTGTGCTTCAGCTTCCTAATTTTGCATATGTTCTTTTTTTTTTTTTTCAGATAGTTCTTGATCATATATTTATGCTATTATTAGCTGTTTAGTGCATTTTGAAATTCTTTATAACAGGGAGGTTGGTGTCAAATTTAAATTCTTTAATCTACAATTTATGTAAGAGCATAATGTGATTAAAATTTTTTGGTAGAGTGAAAAAGGACCTTCTTATTTGTTATAATAGCAAAAATATACTTTTTCCTGTTTTTGATTAGCAAGGCTGAAACTACCCTCATCTCCCACTATTTTCGTATTTCTATAATATTCCTTCACACTATTTGGCTCTATAAATGTAGTTTTTATTCTAGGCTTGTCTGCATCACAAATCAGAGTAAATCTTTGAATCTACTGTTAACAACCTCAGTATGGGCAATAGTCTATGCTTAAAAGGTTGAAGAAATCTCAAGATGGTACCAAAACATTCTTAGAGTGTCTTCCAGAAGTAACTAAGAAATCCAACATATTTATCAAAACCTGTGGTAACAGACAATCATGAGATCTAATTATTTACTCTAAAGAATAGCTTTAAAAACTTTGCAACATTGGCGGTCTTAGAATAAAAAATGAAATGAGCCATTTGGAAAATCGAACCGCAAAGAAGACAAAAAATTATGACCACAAACAATCCTTGGCAAATTAAAATGAAATCCATTCTCAGATTACTTGGGAATGTAGGAGGGTGTAGACATCTTTTAGTAGCCTGGGAGCTCAGACTGCTTAGCATTTGAAAACAACAAAGATGCAACTAGCAAATTAAGTTCAAGTAACAATTTTGGTATGAATAATGGATGTTCCTTTTTGAAGTGTCACTTTCTCTCTTCATTATTGGTAGGGTAAGAGTCCCTTGGTTGCTGCTATAAGCTGAGATTTGAACTTTTGAACGTGGTAACAAGGAGTAGATGAAATTCTTTATTACTTAAGCTTTACCTCTCGTGTATGATCAAAAAGGGGTATACCTCATATTAATTAATTTTTTATGACATAAATGTTGAGGTTTTATGTTTCATGTACAGTATTGCCTTTTTACTCTCTAGTTCTGCTCTTTTGTCTCTTACAGTAATTGGTTTTTTAGTAAGTTGTGGATTGTAGGATAAACTTGAGTTGTGTTTTTATTTGTTTTGCTTAATTTTGTTGTTTCATGTAGGTGAACAGATCAGGAAAGCTCGATAATGAACCACAGTATTCTGTCAATGCTGAGATAACTAGATTGGTTAGCTCAGATTTTGAATTGCTTATTATCTTCCATTTGCTTACTAAATAACTAATCAATTAATCTTACAATTTTCTATTCTATATTTTTATTTTTATAGGTCTTGTCATTGGATGAAGTTCAATTGCAGCAAATATTTATTCTATTAGATTACTTATGCACAAGCCGATTAAGGGAAAAGTGAGTTATTTTATTATGCCATGATTAATATTTTCTCTGTTGTTAGTTAATGCTTTTATTTGGTCTGCTTTCATAGTTTTATTTTTGTTATGGTTGTAATTTTGAAGATGCCTGTTTGAGGGGGTTGATTTTGTGTGGGATAAAGTTCAATTTTAGTATCTTTATGGGCTTCAGTTTCTAAACAATTTTGTGATGATTCTTTCTTTTAAATTCTTACAATTGTGAACTGGTTTTTGTTTATGTTTGTCTTTTTCCTTTTTGGTTTTGATTGAATTGTGAAACTTTGCTTATTAGTAGTGGACTGCTGGTTCACCTATATAGCTTCATATCTTTTGTTAATAAAATTTGCTTCCTATATCTTAGTAAAAGAATTGGAATTAGTTTTGCATATTTATCATTTCTATAACTTCATGATAGAGTGTTGTTGATATGTTTATGCGGTGTCTAGCCTCCTATTTTTCCATAAGAAAATAGCTTTTTATTTTGAGATACAAATCTTATAAAGCATCAACAGTCGTAGGTCAGGGTCTTTTGTACTTTAATGATTGACTTTTTCCTCCCTTTACTAGTTTCAATTGAATCTTAACTTTGTATTGGATGATGTAGGTATGGACGTTATCGTCCCAGGTGTAGTCCGTTATCAAGAAAACCAGATGGTTGGCAAAAGTTGTGGTGGCAATATGCTCAGCAATCTATCTTATCAGATGTCCGTAAGAAATTGAAGAAAACTTCATGGAGATACCTTGGACAGCGACTGTAAGTTTAATTTCCCATTAATTAGATTACTTTATACATAGGCATCATGCCGCATGAACGATGAGTTCTTTGTTTGATATTGCTTATTCCTTAAAGACAAAAATTATTTTTCTTATAAAAAAAAAAAATCCACTGAAGTTTAATTTTAGTTATCTAATAATGACAATGTTTGAGGATTGCATTACACAAACACTTTCTTTCTTTTAGTTGTATAATTTAATTTGAACTTCTTTTAAAGTTTTTATCCTGAGGCAAAAATGTTGGAGTCGGACAACACTGGAGATTCCAAATGCTGGAGCATTGTAACAGCTGAAGGTGATGAAAGCAATAAATTCAACCATATATTGAAACCATTGGATGTCTTAATATCACTTACGGTATGCATGCTTCCACATAAATAATGTTGTGCTTCAGCTTCCTAATTTTGCATATGTTCTTTTTTTTTTTTTTCAGATAGTTCTTGATCATATATTTATGCTATTATTAGCTGTTTAGTCCATTTTGAAATTCTTTATAACAGGGAGGTTGGTGTCAAATTTAAATTCTTTAATCTACAATTTATGTAAGAGCATAATGTGATTAAAATTTTTTGGTAGAGTGAAAAAGGACCTTCTTATTTGTTATAATAGCAAAAATATACTTTTTCCTGTTTTTGATTAGCAAGGCTGAAACTACCCTCATCTCCCACTATTTTCGTATTTCTATAATATTCCTTCACACTATTTGGCTCTATAAATGTAGTTTTTATTCTAGGCTTGTCTGCATCACAAATCAGAGTAAATCTTTGAATCTACTGTTAACAACCTCAGTATGGGCAATAGTCTATGCTTAAAAGGTTGAAGAAATCTCAAGATGGTACCAAAACATTCTTAGAGTGTCTTCCAGAAGTAACTAAGAAATCCAACATATTTATCAAAACCTGTGGTAACAGACAATCATGAGATCTAATTATTTACTCTAAAGAATAGCTTTAAAAACTTTGCAACATTGGCGGTCTTAGAATAAAAAATGAAATGAGCCATTTGGAAAATCGAACCGCAAAGAAGACAAAAAATTATGACCACAAACAATCCTTGGCAAATTAAAATGAAATCCATTCTCAGATTACTTGGGAATGTAGGAGGGTGTAGACATCTTTTAGTAGCCTGGGAGCTCAGACTGCTTAGCATTTGAAAACAACAAAGATGCAACTAGCAAATTAAGTTCAAGTAACAATTTTGGTATGAATAATGGATGTTCCTTTTTGAAGTGTCACTTTCTCTCTTCATTATTGGTAGGGTAAGAGTCCCTTGGTTGCTGCTATAAGCTGAGATTTGAACTTTTGAACGTGGTAACAAGGAGTAGATGAAATTCTTTATTACTTAAGCTTTACCTCTCGTGTATGATCAAAAAGGGGTATACCTCATATTAATTAATTTTTTATGACATAAATGTTGAGGTTTTATGTTTCATGTACAGTATTGCCTTTTTACTCTCTAGTTCTGCTCTTTTGTCTCTTACAGTAATTGGTTTTTTAGTAAGTTGTGGATTGTAGGATAAACTTGAGTTGTGTTTTTATTTGTTTTGCTTAATTTTGTTGTTTCATGTAGGTGAACAGATCAGGAAAGCTCGATAATGAACCACAGTATTCTGTCAATGCTGAGATAACTAGATTGGTTAGCTCAGATTTTGAATTGCTTATTATCTTCCATTTGCTTACTAAATAACTAATCAATTAATCTTACAATTTTCTATTCTATATTTTTATTTTTATAGGTCTTGTCATTGGATGAAGTTCAATTGCAGCAAATATTTATTCTATTAGATTACTTATGCACAAGCCGATTAAGGGAAAAGTGAGTTATTTTATTATGCCATGATTAATATTTTCTCTGTTGTTAGTTAATGCTTTTATTTGGTCTGCTTTCATAGTTTTATTTTTGTTATGGTTGTAATTTTGAAGATGCCTGTTTGAGGGGGTTGATTTTGTGTGGGATAAAGTTCAATTTTAGTATCTTTATGGGCTTCAGTTTCTAAACAATTTTGTGATGATTCTTTCTTTTAAATTCTTACAATTGTGAACTGGTTTTTGTTTATGTTTGTCTTTTTCCTTTTTGGTTTTGATTGAATTGTGAAACTTTGCTTATTAGTAGTGGACTGCTGGTTCACCTATATAGCTTCATATCTTTTGTTAATAAAATTTGCTTCCTATATCTTAGTAAAAGAATTGGAATTAGTTTTGCATATTTATCATTTCTATAACTTCATGATAGAGTGTTGTTGATATGTTTATGCGGTGTCTAGCCTCCTATTTTTCCATAAGAAAATAGCTTTTTATTTTGAGATACAAATCTTATAAAGCATCAACAGTCGTAGGTCAGGGTCTTTTGTACTTTAATGATTGACTTTTTCCTCCCTTTACTAGTTTCAATTGAATCTTAACTTTGTATTGGATGATGTAGGTATGGACGTTATCGTCCCAGGTGTAGTCCGTTATCAAGAAAACCAGATGGTTGGCAAAAGTTGTGGTGGCAATATGCTCAGCAATCTATCTTATCAGATGTCCGTAAGAAATTGAAGAAAACTTCATGGAGATACCTTGGACAGCGACTGTAAGTTTAATTTCCCATTAATTAGATTACTTTATACATAGGCATCATGCCGCATGAACGATGAGTTCTTTGTTTGATATTGCTTATTCCTTAAAGACAAAAATTATTTTTCTTATTAAAAAAAAAATCCACTGAAGTTTAATTTTAGTTATCTAATAATGACAATGTTTGAGGATTGCATTACACAAACACTTTCTTTCTTTTAGTTGTATAATTTAATTTGAACTTCTTTTAAAGTTTTTATCCTGAGGCAAAAATGTTGGAGCTCTTTATCATTAACCTCTCATCAATGCTTGCTTCCTCTGTAGTAAAAGTCATTCCAGGTTTACAGATCTGGTTACAAACACACATACTAACACCCCCACTCACCCACCGAAACCTACACCCAACCGACCGATAATTTAATGTGTCTTACCTATTGGAGGTAATGATTCTAGCCAATGGGGCAAAAGAATTGATGTAAAACATCAAAGAATGCTCTCACACATGCAAATCTTGGGTGAGCTTTATTATTCTTGGCTGAAATTCATTGAAACTCTATCTGTTTCCAGAGCAAGTTAAAAGCTTTGAAATATATATATATTTTTTTAAAAAAGATAGGATGATTCTTGTAATAGGCTGATTCAGTATCTTTTATGTTCTGCATTCTGGTAAACTGCTTGTCAGTTGGGTTCTTGTTAAAAAATAGTATCAAAATGTTATTGAACTTCATGTTTGATAGCTTTTTCATGTTACCTTAACAGCGGACAGATTTAAGCAATAGTTGTAGCATCACACATTTAATTTAATTTTGTTGCTTACATGTTTCCTTTTGTAGGAATCTCTGGTAATATTACATGTTCCCTAATCACTGTTTTAGGTTGTGAACCTTTTTTTTTCCCTGGTTCCAGGAATTATCGTCGGAAATATGTCAACTTATACAAGACTAAACTTGATTGTCTTCAACAAGAGCAGGTAACTTTATTTTTAATTTTCCTTTTTTTTTTTTTTTTCTTAGTGTTTACACGAGTGGGCTCACCAATCTGTTGACTATTTAAGATTCTGAAAGAATAATTTAATGCTGTTCAAATTTTTTGCTGCACACTCCTTCACTGCAATTTTAAGGTTCCATACTGTAGATTTTTTTTTTTTTTTTAATAATTTTTTAAAAAAGAATGTTTTTAATAAATGAAAATCATATATACTTAATAGCTGGTGTTTTTTACATGTCAAATAATGCCATCTGTCTGTAAGTGATCTTGACATTTGAAGTTTAATTGTTTCTGCACTCTCTTCTTAGCAGTAGACATCCCCATTTCTTATATAAAAGAAGAGATGTTATTTCTGTTTATTATATGTGGAAAGTTGTGATGGTAGATTAGATAGGAAGAATTGCGTGCTAGAAGTTGGTTGAGTGAGAGGAATATGCAATTTACAAGATCAGTAAGCCACAGCAATAGCATCTTAAAGTAACGGATAAGAAACATTTGCACATTGTGGTAACTCCTTTGGAAAGTGAAGATTTCATTATGTAGAGTAGGAAACGAATTGTGTGACATGAACATGCAGTGTAAAGTCTAAATATTTCTTATTTAATATCAGCTCTATATGTGCTCTGAAACCGTTGGTTCCGAAAAGTGGGTGGGGTGTGGTTGCAGTATGTCTTAAGTTCAAAATTTTCCTGTAACACTGTAACATAAAAGAATCTACTCAGCCTAGTTTGAAAGTCAAAGCTAATTAGAAAATTTCTTAGTCTTTTTAATTGCTACCTTATTTTGTTAATTGTTTTTATCATCCGTAATTAATTCAGTTTTCTAGTTTGTTGTTTTTTCTGTTGGTTTATTTGGGATGTTGTTAGAGTTGATTAAATGTTTACCTGTTTATGTTTTGTATCTTGTGATTATCAGCCAATTGAGGAATCTGTTATTATGGAATTGGAGCAAATGGAGAAAGATTGTGATATAGATGACATCTTAAGTTATAGATCAGCTGCTGAATGTGAACTTCAGGTATGAATGCTTCTGATGACAGGCTAGTATTCACATTTGTATACTACGATTGGATTCTGTATTCACAGTTGAGATTTATGATTATTTTAGGTCAAGTATCATATTTAACCATTTTTTTTTAGGATGGCAGATAGCATTTTTGCAACTCCATTGCATCATTGGTGTAAGTACCATTTATTGTGTTAATTTGTGTATTTGTTGTCTCCACAGGAAGCCTTAATGAACTCTTCAAATTCCAGTATGGGAATGGATGGTGGCACTTCCTCAATTGAAAAATCACGAAATGATGAGCATTCATCCAGCAGGTCCCGTGGATGGTTGAATTGGCTGTCCCGTGGTATGCTTGGTGCTGGAGGGACAGATGATTATAGTCAATTCTCTGGAGTCGTCTCTGATGAAGTTGTAAAGGTAGCTGTCCTGTGTTGTTAAAAGTTAAAATTTCTGTTTTAGAAAAACTAATGACTGTCATTTTGTGCAGGACATATATGAGGCGACAAAGTTCCATCCTATGGTTTTACCCAGTGTTGACGAGGATGGAAATGATAAGTTCCACACATGTGCCATAAGGTTCAGCATAGCTCGAATTTCTGTGTCACTTTGGAGCAGGTATAGTTGGGTTGTATTCAAACTCTTTCTGGAGGGAAAATGGACCATCAATTAATTGCACAGATAATAAAATGGTTTAGAGAAGTCAATTTCTTTTTCTGAGTAGATGCTAGTGTCTTTTCAAAATGAATTTGGTGTATCTGTAAGGAATTTGAGGATACTTTTTTTTTTTTTTTTTTTTAATTGGGAGCTGTCTTGGTTTGCACTGGAGCTCTCTTTTTTATGTTTATATCTCGTAGTTTTTGATATTTTGGTTGGACTTCTTGTTCATTATCTTTGTATCATTTTAATATTTTCGTAAGAATTATTTCATGTGTTCCATCATTATTTATAAGAAAAAATTAGTGTGTTGAATCTGTGTGATGTCTTCAGTAGATGGTAATTTATGTTGTAGCACAAAAATGAAGCTTTCAGAGGATATGGAATTCTGTCTTAAGCTTTGTCGTATGTTACTCAAATTTTTAAAGTTCAGTAACATTTTTTTTCTTCCTACTTGCTGTATTTGACAGATGGTGGAAGTACATGAATGGTAAAATTATGGTTTGTGCTTACGTTTCAGGGATTCTGGTCAAAAAATTGCCAAGCTTGTCCTTGAAGGTGCAGTTATTGATTGCAATATTTGGGAAGAGTTGGCAAATGTTACTGCTGTCGTCAAGTCAGCGAAGATGGTTTATCCACTTAACAAGAAAGTCATTCTACTGATGGGGGAGGTTTGTATTTTAAATTGTAATTATTTAAGCATATTTAGTGAAAAGTGTTGGCGAATTTTAAAAGTTCTTGCTTCTTTTAGTTTTGCATGTTGGTGCTTTTTATTGAGGAAATGATCATGGGATCTTTTATTAAGAAACAAACTTTTATAAAAATTGGAAATCAACCAAGAAAAAAGGTGAAAACCAGTCGACCATCAAGATAACAAAGGTCTCAGTAAAAGTTGACTTAAAACAGAAAAAGCATCTAACAACTGAATCTCCATTTTCTTGAATATAGATAAGGGTTTATTTAATTTTCCCCCCATGAGATCGCTTTGTATAAAACTCATCACTTTGTTTAGAAACTATTAAACACCCTATCATCAGGGTGTTTTTGATAATTTTGTGTTACAGTTGTTTGATATTTTAAAGGTTTTTATTTTTATTTTTATATATTTTAGAGGTTTTTTATACTTTTTGAACAAGATAGATGAGTTCATACGAAACAATCTCATAGCGGGGGAAATGAAATAAACCCTTTCTTTAAACCTTAGCACATATGATTACAAGGAAGTTAACCTTAGCATTCAAGTTCTAAATCTTCCTCGTGTGCATTTTTAAAAATTCTTATTTTTTTCCAACTAGATCACCTGAAAAATTCCAAATTTACTGCAATTCCATAAAAATGAAGCCTTTCTACCTTCCTGGAATTACAAAATATTAGAATGCAGTGATAAACATGAAGTCGGAACTAAATTGATCTTAGAGTATCATTTAATGAAATAACTGAATATGGGTTGTTGAAAATTTCAGTTCTCTTGTCGTCTTTAACTTTTGTGATCAGGTTTATAGGCTAAAAATATATTGTCTTTCTCAGTCATGCAAGGAAAAGGCACTTCAAAGTGAACAATCTTCTTTAAGTGTACAAGTGGATTTGTCTTCAAAGGAAGATGTTGAATTATCCGTGAAGGTACTTCTAGTGATTGCCTTTTTCTCTTTTTAGGAATAAGTTAGTACATATTGCTTTGAAATTCCCTATGATTTTAAAAATGATAAACTCTGTCAATTTTTAGGTATTCTTTTGCATATTTAGAAATTATTTCATTATAGTTACTGTACTATAATTTGCATGTTCAGGTCAGGCTTCAACCACTTGAAGCGACATGTGATACAGAATTTTTACTGAACTTCGTGGAATTTTTTTCTGTATTGAAGTCTTTCAAATCTCTGCATGAAAGGGTAAGCTGTTGTATACACTGATTGAGCTTTATCTGTATCATATTTTGCTTCTTTTGCTGTGGTATAAACTTGACTGAATTTGTTGTTGATGATTCTAAAATACTGTCAACTAGGTTGGTCCTTATATGGTGTGCCCTTTTTAACATTTTTATTTGCCATCCTTTTTGCATATGTATTACTTTATCTTCTTGTATGGTTGTGTGGTGCATATGAATGCTTGACTTTTTTTACCTTAAAATAATACTAAAAGTTGAAAATGATGTAAAAGTTTTTGGAAGATTCAATAGTTACACTTTTGCTTGAATCACTAAGGTAAATATTTGTTTCTTTGGAGAATTAGGGTTTGTTGGAGAACATTTAGTCATTTCTTGAAATTATCTATCAGGAGAAATTTTTTTCAGTAAATTTAGGCTTAGAGTTCACATATTTAACTCATTCTAGGTGGTATTAGAGATTTTTTTAAGAGTAAATTTGGATGAATTTCGCTACAAACAATCAAACTGGGTCCATGTGGGAAGCAATTACTTTTCACATAGAATCTCTATCTCTCTCGAGTCATTTTGACACAACAGGATATCTTCTTGTGAATATGAATGATGTTTGGTAGAATAGATGAGGAAATATAGAAAATAAGTTCTTAAATCTAAACAAATGAAGTGACTACCACATCAATGTCCTGTAGTTGGGCATGCATATATCTATCCTTGTGTGGGTAAATTGTGCAAAGCTGCCTTTATGAGGTCTTGTTTAATTAAAATGATGCTAAATACATTAATTGGTAACCCAAATTTTCCACACCTAGTGATGAGTCATCCTATGTGGTATTGCTATATCATTTACCATATTAACTCATCATTTACACTTAAGAGCTACATAGAAAGACACATCACTTGGGATGTGGAATTGGGGTACTAGTTGGGTTGTATGGCATTATTCATTTAGTTTATTTGGTGCATTAGTTTGAAGCACAATCACTTGCAGTGTCCATAGCTGTATTTGTTACAGAAACTTAAAGATGTGCATTAGTTTGAGGTTCATTGTCCATTATTTTCTTTTCCAAAGGCTGGTAACTGCGTTTAGCACTTTATAGTAGTAACAGTCAATATTTATACTAGTGCAGGTCCTCTCATCATTGAATGGGATCAAAGATGTCAAGGCTCGATTGTCATCAAAGGCTGGGTGAGTTTTTGTCAGATTGCATGCAATATTCCTTTTTATCAATAAGACTGCTTTTTCTGTCATGTTGTTTATAATCTGTTTCAGTTGCTATATATTGCTTATGTTTGAGTTTAATGTACATCTTTATGTGATGCAGATACATTTTATCAAGCCACAAGAATGTGATGTGGGATGTTAATATCACTGGTGTCACCATAAATCTTCCTTGGAGAAATGTGATTGCAGAAGAAAGTAATCTGGTAACTTCTTTACATGTTTCAGTGTACTTGACTTAAATTTGCTTCTGTATTCTATTATCATTATTGTTCTTGGTTTCTCATTTGGGATCAAGCTACTCATTACTGATACTTTTCGTTCCATTGCTCTTGGAGTGAAATTTTTAGTCTTAATGTCTGGTGTTGTCAATGCTACATATATACATGTTTATTTACTTCCCTATGATGTTGAAAACTTTTGAAATCACGTCTTCAGCTTGCTCAGTTAAATGTAAAAATTCTCTGGACATTGTAAATTTTTCTTGTTAATAAAATAAAAATGAACTTCATATACAGTTAAGTGAATATAGTTATCTTTCCTCTCTTGAAAAACTTGAAATAAACTTGGTTAATAGTATGGTTGATAACAGGATAATAGTTGTCAGCGACTATATGACGGATTTAGGACATGTTTCTCATATGAATTCCTTTCAGTAAAAGAAGCTGACCAAGAGAAACATAGGGCCTTTTCTTATACAGAAATGGAAATAATAATCACACTTCTGTCTTCGCTGTCCTTGAATTACGCAGTGTTTATATGTTTTACAGCTGTCAGACACGAAGTATTCTACTGTTGTCCAACTAATCTGGATTCTGGTGATTTACTACATGGCAGCAGAAACACCATATAATCTAGCTTCCTTTTTAATCTTGTATTGTTTTTTTTTTATTTTTTTATTTTTTTTTTAAATTTTAATTTTTGGTTCCCTATATTGGTTGCTTGTGGTATTTGTAATTCTGTCTAATAACAATCTGGCATGATATTTTTTAGTTTCATTGTGGTTGTCTACCAATGTCTCTTTGATGTTGACCTACTATAACATGCAGGTTTTGCAATTGGGATCTCTTCTTATAAAATCAAAATCTGATCTAGATTCTCTTACATTAAATATTGAAGAACAATCCTCTAGCCTGAAACTCTTATTGAATGCTTGTTCCGAGGATTTTACAATGGGTTTCCGACTTCAGGATCTATATAATCACTTTGAGGTCAAACTAAATGATTTTGAGGTCCGTATCCAATTTTTGGTTTTATTTTAGGTTGCCTCTTCACAATATAATTTCTAATTCTATACGTTGAAATCACGCAGATAAAGCTAGGACTGCCTCATTATCCTCAGAAAGTCCCTATCTTAGAGAAGTTTTGTGCTTCAATTGCCTTGGCTTGTAGCATTATTCCTGATGAATCAATATTAAATCAGTTGGAGGTAGTAAAGTTAAATTTTTATGGTACACTATAATTTCAATGTCAGATAGATAGTTTAAGACTTCAAGTATGAGATATTGTGATTATTGCTATCTAATTTACTTTTGTTGCCTTGTTCTTAGTAAAAAATGTCATTATTCTATTATTTGATCTTTATTTCTTGAGCACGATAAATAATCTGTAAATGAGATACTTGACATTTCCTAATTAATATCAAAGAAATCCTGGAGTTGTTGGAAATTGTCCTTTTCCTTATTTATATCTGTACTTTTACATCTTTTTCTAGTGTTGCAAATTAATATTTCTCAGTTTTGGATCCTGTGTAGAAGATTCACAATATCAAATGAGGAATATAGTAGGGATACTCAATTGAGGTCAAGTTCCAAATGAAGCTTTTCTCGATATTCAGTTTCCCGCTCTTTAATGAGGAACAAGTTTTGATGATTGACAGGATACCATTTGAAGTGAGTTGATAATAGATGAGATGTCATAAGAATAGTTGTCAATAATAAACGATATAGCAATTTCCATTTTTTAATGAAGACTAGTCAGTTAAAAATATCATGCAGCTCAGAAACTTCTTAAGGTTTTTTAAAATAAATTTATTTATGATAATATCTAAATGAGGTTGGTGTTTTCCTTGGTGGTCTTTCTTATTTATTCTTTTTGTTCAGGTAAATATTGTTGTATCACTGCTTCGTGGACACTTATCTCCATCTATATACGAATCAATTGTGTCATTGATTCTTCATCTAGATATTCTGCAATCAAGGACTGGGCCTGCGAGGCTAAAGCATTCCAGTTCACCAAATATCACATTGGATCAAATTGAGACTTCTGTTTTTGGATTCTCTATATCTGCAAGTTTGGAGTCGGTCAGTTTATATGTTGACCTTGCAAATGATGGAGAAAACAGCTCTCTTCTCATGCTTGCTCTACAAAAATTAGATTTCTGGTTTGTGATTACATCTTAATTTTGTGCTTATTTTTTATTTTTATTTTCTTTGTGTACCTTCTAGCTGTTGGTCTCAGGGTGCGTTTGGTTCAGAGAATGTTGGATTACTGGGAATGTTGGATTATTGGAAAGTTAGATCACCTTAAAGATTATTAGGAATCTTTAGGAAAATATGTTTGATTAGTTAGAATAAATTGGCGGGTATGTTATTTAAATTACTAAATTGCTTTCTTTTTAAATATAAATATGATATTATTTTTATTATTAATTTTTGAATAATTTCTTTTAACCCCCAACATTTCAGATTTAGCTAAAACGCCCCAGCTTATATAAAACTTTAATTTATAACAAAATAACCCCACCACCCCAAGCCACTGCCAACCACCACCGAAAAGTCGTCGGAGTCGCTAAAAATGGCTGAGAGTCGCTGGGAGGCTTCGAGAAGCTCTGATATGGCTGTTTCTGGCCATATTGATGGCTGAAAACGGCCATATTAGAGTAGATCTGGCTGGAAAAGGCCAGATCTGTTCTGGCCATTTCCAGCTAGATCTACTCCAATATGGCTGTTTTCGGCCATCAATATGGCCAGAAACAGCCATATCGGAGCCTCCTAGCGACTCTTGGTCAGTTTTAGCAACTCCGGTGACTTTCCGGCGGCAGTCGATAATGGTGGCTGGGTGGCGGCGGTGGTCTGCAATTTGTTTTAAATATAAGGGTATTATTGTCTAAAAACTTAATTAAACAAGGGTAAAATTGTAATGGTGGATTAATGTAAATTGATTTTAAAACAAGGGCATTATTGGCTAAAATTTTTATTAATAAGAGATAAAATTGTAACAAAAATAAGATTACTTTGGAAATCTTATAATACCTAATAGAGATAATCAGATTATCTCCAATATTACTAAAAGTAACTGTTATTGGTATTGGAAGATTACCAGTATCTTATATTATTTGACAACCAAACGTGGTAATCAAGTAATATAAGATGATATAACTTCAGTAATCTTATATAACCTCCAACCAAACGCCCCCTCAGTATCATACAACATTACTTGAGTTTTAGAATTTGATGCTTGTGTCTTTTTATCTTTATCTTCTTGATGTTGGTTAGAGGTGTGTTACTCACAATGGTTTGACTTTGCATACGTCTTTTCCTGTTGCCACTACTTTATGCTAATTAGGATATTTAATATCTTAATTTATGTCTCTCAGTAGAGTATTTATATCTAAAACCCCAAATGTTTTTCTTTTTTTTTCAAATTTTGTTTAGATTCTTTTTATTATTTCCTGTGTTTTAATCTGAACTGTTGAAAACAAATTACAGCTATTCTCTGAAAGAACTTGAAAACTGCTGGATCAGTATGAAAGCCTTGAAGATAATCTCTTATCCTTTGAGAGGTAAAGATGACAGTCATATGTTGGCTTCATGTGAGGATGCGTTTGCTTCCAGTTCTTCAAATCAGCAAAACGGGACTTCTGACCTTAGTGATCAAAGTGATAATAATGTTAACAAAAGCTCGTCCTCTGAAGTGTGCTTTTCTTTACATTATGAAGCTGGCAAGTGTGTAAATAACACTTACAACAAGTGTACAGTATGCTTGAATGACGCTGATCTCCACTGCTACCCATATATATTCGGTTTATTAATGGGATTTTTTGATAAGATATCTTCTTATAGTGCTTCTGGTACTAGTGAGAATTCCTCTATTCCTACCGTGGATGGTAAAAGTACAAAAACAGTGCCTCATTTTGGATTTCAAAAGTTTGGTTTCTCAAATTTCTTTGAAACCGGATCCTCTGATCATGCAAACATTTCATTGGATAATTATCCATTCATTACCATCTGCAATTCTGGTTATCTTGGTAGCCTTGAGAATTCTCTTCTTTATCGCATTCCTGACTGGAGGAAAATATTCAATTTAAGGGACAGAACATTCAAAAGTCTGAGATGCAATTTAAAAAAGGGGTCTGAAATGCTTAATGCCTCATCGTGGAAATCCTCATCTGATATGATTACATTCCCTGGTTCAGGCAGTTTTGATGACACAAATCAGTTTCTTATTGATATCAACCTTTGTGAAATCAGAGTTCATTTCCATGATTCTTCATGTACTGTTGGAACTGTTACTGTACCATCTTCTAAATCTGCAATTTTGATTTATGAAAATTGTGTGGATTTATTGTCTTCCAATGTGGGATTAGTTCTTACTTCTTCCTGGTGTACTAAAAATTTCCATAAGTGTCTGTGGGGCCCATCATCACCAAATCTATCTCCTATTTTGAATTTACGAGTGAGGAAAGGCAATATTGGATCATTGAGTACTCAGGTTGAAGTCAGCCTTGCTGTTCAGCATGTTTGCTGTGTTTTGCCACCTGAATATTTGGCAATATTGATTGGTTACTTTTCATTGCCTGACTGGAATTTAAGTGAGCAAACTGTTGCTGAACAATCAAATGATATGTTATACAAGTTTGAAATCCTGGACTCTGATTTGATTGTGCCAGTGGAAAATGACGACCACCAGTTCCTGAAGGTTGAAATTCAACAGCTGTATTGTAGTTTCATCCATAATTGTTCTTTAAATAATATATTGATGGACATTTCTCCCGAGTACATGGTTCCTGCACATAAACTTGCAAAACATAATCACTGTTTAAATATATTTGGACGGGATTTATTCCTATCTTTTCTGCCGTTCAAGGATGATGGATATGGCTGCTTGATGGTTGATCAAGATACTGGATATGGAAATAATATCTTAATTGGACCACTTAGTGCTGATGCTTGGGTGAGAATACCCTGGGAAAGCGAATCCACTTGTGGAAGTTCTTCAGCTCCAATCTGTGTCATGTCAAGACTTTATCATTGTCAAATTATTGCTAATGGTAGGACAATTATGTGTTCTAATTTCACTTTTGTTTATGAATTTTTTTTATATTCGTTTTGCTCTTTGAAAAATCAAAATAATAACTATCACTGTTTCTGCTTTCTTTCTTTTTCTCTTTTTCCTCATATTGACAGATTGCTACACATTTGATGGATTTGAGGCTCTGCTAGATGTCATAGATAAGTTTTCCTCCGTTGATGTTGAATCGAAGATGTTTACATCTGATGTTCTACATTTTCTTCAGCTAAAGAAGTGTCTAATGGAAAAGGATGTGGTTTCACCTGTTACCTCAGACATGATCTTCACAGAGGTCAAATGTTGTGTTGATTCATTGTCAATAAAATTACTTCACTTGAGAAAAGACTCAGTTTTACTTAAACCATTTGCAAAGGTGGATATGCAATTTATATGCTCTGTGTCACTGATGAATGAGACACCCATAAGCTTGGACTTGAATTGTTTTTCTTTAGCCCTATATTCATCAGTTAGTTCTGCCCTGTTAGCAAGATGCAACAGTGACTGCAGCGCCCCATCAGCTCTTGGTATCTGTCTCTCAAAATCTGAGTATGGTGAAAACAGACTTCATGTCTCTCTCCCTTCTCTTGATATTTGGCTACATTTTTCTGACTGGACTGAGGTAATTGACTTTTATGATTCCCTCTCTCAAAAAATGTCAAAAACTGCAAATACGGATGTATCAACAAAGAATTCAGGTATAGATACAGAGGGTCAAATTGAAAATTTGGTGATAACTGTTTCTCAAAGTGCTTTTCCAAGTTCATGTATGTCAACTTATCATGTCTCCAAGAACATAAAGGATGCAGCCGTCTTCATTGTAAAGTCAGAAAATATAGGCATTACAGTACATTTTCCTATTAGGCTCAATGAAGCAGCATTTCAAGAAGATGATGTAGCTGAAATTCAAGATGAATGTCCCCAAAAGGATTCACTTAACATGGCTGTTGGGAAGCACAGTAAATATGTTGCTATTACAACACATAGTAGATGTAGTGAACTACTTATATATGGTGGAAATGCCAAATTAAAGATTTTGCTGGAGAAGACAAGTGGCGTGGTGGGAACATGCGAGGAAAAGAGTGTTAATTCTTGGCCTTTTTTCCAGATATTACAAGTTAACGTGGAAACTGAGTTTTGTAGAGACCAACTGGATCTTGTGCATGTTAATGTCTATGTGCAGTGTGATAGATTGGATCTGTTGCTTTCATATCAAGTACTCTACTTTTGGCATGATGTGGTTTTTGACACTCCTAAAGCAGGGTCTTCACAACTTGCATTTCCTAGTATGGATCTTGAAATCCGGTTAAGGAAGGTTTCTCTTCTAATATCTGATGGAAGGGTATGCTTGGATTTTACTACTTAGGCTACAAGTTCTATTCATTTATTTTTCATAAGTTGTATTGTCATATTTTCTTTAATATCAAAGTCCCTTTTATGAATGTTATAGCTTAAAAGTGATTTTCAGCGTGAAATACTTGGGCTATTAGTTCCTTTGGTATCTGTATATGTATTTGTAAATCAAACTGTATTTGTGTTTGATCCTTATATTAGGAAGCCTGTTGTAGTTTAAATGCTACCTTCCCATCAGGTTAAGCTGTTGGGATTGATGGTCCTCACCATAATTCAAATCTTCACAAAAGTTTCTTCAGTCTACATTATGCAACTGTGTCGTATATTTTAATTGCTTGAAACTTTTTTTCTTTGTTAATTTTATGTTATTTTCTTTTGTGAAGTGGAGCTGTAGTGGACATCTGTTGGAAATCACTATAAGGAACTTCCTATTACATTCTTGTGTGACTGAAAGCAGCATGGAGAGCTCTGTAGCAACTGAACTTCAAGTGAACTACAGTAACATACGGAAGGTATTGAGCCACCAAGTTTTGCATATATTCCTATTGGTATAGAATGCTAATATGGGTGTCAATTCTATTGATTTTAGGTCTCATGGGAGCCTTTTATCGAACCTTGGAAGTTTGAGATGAAAGTAATCAGAAAACATGAGATGATTGCTCTTCTAAATAGCTCCATTATTACCGATATTGATCTCACAGCGACAGCACAGCTTAATTTGAACTTTACAGATTCCCTTGTTGAGGTAAATATTTCATATTCCTTTGAAATATGAACGGATGAATTCATATTTTGCCTTTGTTTGAAGGTACCAATGCTTCTTTTTTTACAGACGTAACTGAAACGAAATCCTTCCTATAGATTGTTGCAAAACATTGACAAGTTTTCATGCAGAACAATTTTTAACACTAGTTCTGGATATAATTATCGATAATCTTGATGGTTAAATTTTCTAATTAATATTTTTCATCTTTGAATGCTCCTTTGGAGTGCATTGGGACGTTTAGATACAGTAGGCATCTATCATGTGTGATAATGATTTAAAATATTCTTCATGGTCTAAAAACATAAAAGTAACTTGATCAAGTTATGGTTTTGTTTTCCTTGTGTTTTATACCAGATGACATGAGTAGAAACATTTATCAGCTTATAGCTCTTGGTCATTGCTTAAGGTTTTCATTTCTTCATGAATTTCAGACAGTAATTATCTTAGTTCCTTTTTTTGTGTCTTTTTAGTGTATTTTCAGGACGGTTGAGATGGTCAAGGATGCTTGGGGACTGATGGGGCCGGAAAATCATCCTGAAAACCAGATATTCTTGAATTCTCTAATGAGTGAAAATATATCTGAAGGAAGATATGCTCCCTATGTACTTCAAAATTTGACTTCTTTGCCCATTGTGTACAATGTTTACCAGGGGCCACTCAGTTCTAGTGAATTTGATGTCTCAGAGATGAAGGATGGAAAATCTGTGCAGCCAGGAGCCTCTATTCCAATTTATCTTAATGAAACTCCTGATGAACAACTTTTTCATTATAGGAATGCATATTCATCTGACAGGCTCAGTGACAAGCAATCAGATGCAGTGACTCATCATTTCATGACCATTCAACTTGATGGCACTTCTGTGCCTTCTGGCCCTATTTCAATGGATCTTGTAGGGATGACTTACTTTGAGGTCGATTTTTCTAAGGCCTCAAAAGCAAAAGAAATTGAGAGAACTGAGGATATGTCAAAACACAGTCTTGACAATATAGGGAATGTTAACTCCAATACTAATAGTGGGTTTGTTGTCCCTGTTGTGTTTGAAGTTTCGGTACAGCGCTATAGCAAGTTAATACGGTTGTACTCAACGGTAGGTGTGCAATAAACAGTTTTTTGTTGTTGTAATACTGTTCAATCCTTAGTTTCCCCTTATACTACTTGATTTCAGGTCATACTTTCGAATGCAACTTCAATACCCTTGGAACTACGGTTTGATATTCCATTTGGCCTAGCCCCAAAGGTACAGGAAAAGAAATTAAAATTGTATTTGTTCCGATTCCATCTCTATACTTATACATGTACGTGATGTTGCACAATTTGAACTTCCCAGTTATTTTGTTATTTCAGATCCTGGACCCAATATATCCTGGCCAGGAATTTCCACTACCTCTACATTTGGCTGAAGCTGGTCGCATGAGATGGCGCCCTCTGGGAAAGTCTTATCTGTGGAGTGAAGCACATACTGTGTCTACTATTATTTCACAGGAGAGCAAAATTGGATATCCAAGATCTTTTGTTTGTTACCCATCTCATCCAAGCAGTGATCCCTTTCGTTGTTGCATATCGGTTCAAAACGTTATTTTACCTTCATCTAGTAGCTCAAAACGATCTTCAGCTCTTCATGTGAATAGTACTTTGAAGCAATCAGTTGACAGTGGTGGTCAAGTAGTGCATGAGTTCGATCGCTCAAAGAATCGATCCATTCACCTGGTGACGTTAAGTACACCCTTTCTAGTCAACAACTACCTTCCTGAGGCAGCATCATTGACAATCGAAACTGGTGGAATCACTCGTACTGCATTGCTTTCAGAGGTCTGTGACTAGCATTGCTGAATGATAGATTTTTGGCATGATTCTTTCTCTTTCATCCTTAACGATGATGATGCAATCATTTAATTTGTCTTGGTTTTTCCAGGTGCAAACTCCATTTCATGATATTGATCCCTCCCATGACCTAGGACTGGAGTTCAATTTGCGCGGTTTCAGACCTTCAGTTTTTAAGTTTCCACGTGCGGAAACGTTCAGTACAATGGCCAAGTTCAGTGGAACAAAGTTTTCTTTATCTGAAACCATGACCTTGGATCCTGAATTATCCAGTGGTAATTTAAACTTGAGGTTGATTTCTTTCTATACATGATTATATGTTATGTTAACTGTGTTACTTTTTATTTTTTGCTAGATCCAACATATGTTATCCTAGAAAAGACTATGGATGCATTCTCTGGTTTTCGAGAGCTCTTCATTTTTGTTCCATTTCTGTTGTACAATTGCACTGGTTTTCCACTTGTTGTTTCACACTCTGCTGTGGAAAAGAAAGGAAGTGGCAGCACTATTCCATGCTGTTATAATTTATTTGATCAGGAACCACTACAAGGCAAAAAGGATGGTCTAAGCCTTATATCCTCAGATCAGGATACTGATCCTAGAGCTCCATTGATGGATAGTCAGGGGAGTTCTTTTTTGAAAAAACACATTGTTTCAACTAGGAAAATAAATCCTCATTTTGGAAAATTTCTGAGCAAGCCCGTCATTTCTTCTGGTTCCTCTGAACTCCTATATAATCAGTCAGTCAGGCATGAATTAGAGGGTCAAAAAGTTTCTTTATCTGATGTGAAGAATAATTTTTGTTCTTCCAGTCAACTAAATTTAAGGGAATCTGACTTTACTGATAATGGGGATGGAAAGGTTCATGCATGCATGTATTCTCCTCTTCCCCTTTCCTCTACGAGTGAAATTATGGTTCGTGTAAGTAGGAGTCTTTCTGAATATGTTACACAGAACATGCCCACTAATTCATGGTCAACACCATTTCATCTTGTCCCACCAAGTGGTTCAACAAGTGTTGTTGTTCCTCAAACATCATCAAATGCTGCTTTTATAATTTCCGTAACAGCTAGTAGTCTTGCTGGACCATTTGCTGGAAGAACACGAGCCATTACTTTCCAACCCAGGTGATAGTTTTCCCATACGTTCAATTATTAATTTTCATTTGTTAGAGACTACTTTTCATAATAATACAATCTTGTTTCGCACATTTGTTAATATTTTTATCTTCTGCAGATATGTGATTAGTAATGCATGCAGCAAGGCCTTATGTTACAAGCAAAAGGGAACTGATCTTGTGTTTCATTTGGGTGTGGGACAGCATTCTCATCTTCACTGGACTGATATGACTAGGTATTTTGTCGTCTTTAATTCGTAAAATGCTGTGATCTTGAATATGTATATGCTTTATGGTTAGACTATTATTTTTTGTAAAAATTTCATAACCTACGCTAAGTTTTGCTTACACTAATAGATTTCGAAACTATTTAGAAACCTCACTGTAACTAGGTTAGTGAGTCTGCCTATTTTTCTTTTTCCCCTTTTTTTATTTTTTTTTTTTTGTCTAGAAATCCAAATATAATCATTTTTGTACAATAATGGAAATATATAGCATTTGAAACTAGAAATTTTTCAAATTTTTGCGGTAATTTAACTTATATTTGCTTTCTTGAAATTTCAAATTTAGGGTGTAATCATGTTTGCTGAAAGCAGTGTTCCCATTTCTGACTGTAGTACATCTTGTTCTATTTTCAACTTACAAGAGATTGTCTACAAATTGCACTTTGCACGTTTCATACTATTGCTTTGTGTTAGAGACCAACTTCAACTCAACCTGCCCAGAAAACCAGTAACTCCAATTCTCCAGAATTCCACAGCCACACAAACCACAAGCACCAGTTCACAAACAAGAACAACGTTCAATTCAACAAATACTTCGATATATATATATTGATAGCAAACACTCAATACAACCATTAATTCGATCAACAAAGATTAAACAGCAACAAGAGCAATTATCCAAAACAGAACAGTAAAATAAGAAAAGAAAACGAAATAACCCAGCTGGACTTTGAGGACCAGCACCTCCCCAAGCAAAATTCCCCTTTTTACTTTTTTGATGCTTGGAGATTCTCTGTCCACCCTTTTATGCTGCTCTAACTATAACAGAATTTCCCCAAACCCAATCCTTAGTTGCCATCTGTCCACTGTCTTACACACAATATCATGCAATTCAGGACTGTTATATGCTCACAAATCCTGTCCACGTCCTCTCCTCACTCTTTTGTTCTTCCTATTATAGACAAGCATTGTGGAGGTCTCATCACATTGCTCATTTGGTAACCTGCATATTTTCTCATTGACATTGTTATCTAAGTGCTATCTAGACCACTCGGATGAGTTATTGCTCCTTGGGTAGTGCACTATTGCTTCTTTTGCTTTCTTTATCTTTGCGTTTGGAAAACCTTAAGTTTCTTTGTTTATTTGTTTTCCATTACTCGGAGATAATCATATAATTAATTCTCTCTCCACCACTGCTTGCACATTCAATATTCTGCTTGTTGCAGGGAGTTGCTGGTTTCCGTTCGCTTTAATGAACCTGGATGGCAGTGGTCTGGCAGCTTCTTACCAGATCATCTTGGTGATACTCAATTAAAATTGTGGAATTATGTTTCTGGTGCACTGAATATGATAAGGGTGGAAGTGCAGAATCCTGATGTTTCCATTAGGGATGAAAAGATTATTGGAAGCCCCGATGGGAATTCTGGGACAAATTTGATTCTCTTATCAGATGACGATACTGGATATATGCCCTACAGAATTGATAATTTCTCGAAGGAGGTGGGTATTGTTTTATGTATTTAATAATGAAATTTACAATCTTCTCTTGGTTTGGTAATTCTGACGCCTTCTGTCTCATTGTGTGTTTCTGTATGAGTTTGAAATTTATAAATATGGTGTATTTTAAGGTTGCAATTGCTTGTTATTTTGTAAGATCATGTTTTAATCTGCATATATATATCGAGGTGAGCAGCCAAATGTAAAAATCCTGGACAGAAAAGTTAAATCCTGGAATCACAAAATATATAATGCTAAAAAGCTACTTGAATTTTGCTTGTATAGACTCTTTCCTGTTTTTAATGTTATTTCTGCTATTTGTAGAGGTTACGAGTTTACCAACAAAGGTGTGAAACTTTTGATACCATTATTCACCCTTACACTTCTTGCCCTTATGCATGGGATGAACCATGTTATCCTCATCGTCTCACTATTGAGGTATGCTATTACTCATATTTGAAAGTTGTCAATGGTTTTGTAAATTTTAGTAATGAGCTTTAGTTTGAGAATTGTAAGGTTCCTGGTGAGCGAGTTGTGGGGTCATACATTCTTGATGATCTAAAAGATCATATACCTGTTCACTTACCAGCGACGGCTGAGGTACATTTGTTTACTCTTTATTCAATATGTTTATCAGCTGTAATGGCAGTTTGGAATATATAATTTTGCATGCACATGGTGTGGTCTAGTTCTATATAAACTTCATGAGGGAAACTGACCTCACCAAAAGTTTACGAACTAGTGAGATGAGTATGATAAATTATAAGTTTTGCTAGCTTCACCCTTAAATATGTAATTCATGGGTTAGTCTGAATACTAGAACCTCATTCAGAAAATAAATATATTATCATGTGTGACAAAAGTGACTTCCATGCAAGTTCAACTTACTAATGAAAAGATTGGGGAAGAATTATTGGAAATGAAGGTTGAAGGGAGAGGGGAGGTTGCAGATGGTCCTTTTGTATTTAATTAGTGAAAAGTTGAATATTGTTAATTTGTTTTGATTTATTCATATATCTACGCTTTCTGATACTTGAGTAAAATTTTACTTTAGATAATACTATTCATGTTTTATTATAATATTGCTGAAGATGTGGACAGAATTTGAAAATGTACTTATGAAATTGGGAGAGATTTCGTCTGTATAATGATGTGAAAAATACGTGCATTACTTTTCATCATGTATTCATTAGAATGTCAGTCAAAATGTACCTTCATCTTATGCATTAGTCTAATTTCAACAAGTTAGGGTTCACAATGTATTTATTTTCCTTTTGCTTCACTTAGTTAAACAAATGAAGCCACGATAAAGATACAGAGCGAGACCTGTTATTTTCCATGCCTAAACTAAATACACTTTTATGGTTGGTAGTTAGCCTCCGAAGCTTGATTTGTTCATTTGATCTAATGACTTGGACTAAATGTTTGGTCTTCAGAAGCCTGAGAGAACATTGCTTTTATCAATCAGTGCTGAGGGAGCAACAAAGGTACTATTCTAATTCTTTCCTGCACCTCAAAAACGCAATGGAATTTTCTGTAGCTAGTGATTGTTTCCATTTGTTGCAGGTGCTCAGCATCGTTGATTCAAGTTACCATATTTTGAAAGATGATAAAAATCCTACCAACCTGCACTACCAAGAAAAAAAGAAACAAGAGCAGAAGCAGGAGAAGTTTGCTAATTATAGTGAGAGATTTGCATTTAATATTCCATATATTGGTGTCTCCTTGATAAATTCATATCCACAGGTAGATAAAATATAAAATAGTGGTTTTGATTCTTTATCCTTTTTCTTTTCCTTCTCACTAAACAGGTCATTTTAGTTTAGAACTTATGAGAACTTTAAAAGTACATTTTTCATTTCTTTCTATTGCAGGAATTACTTTTTGCTTGTGCAAAGAACATAACAATTGATCTGCTTCAGAGTCTGGATCAACAAAAGCTCCTTTTTCAGATAAATTTTTTACAAGTAGATAACCAGTTACACACAACCCCATATCCTGTTATTCTGTCCTTCAATCATGAACAAAGAAGCAATGTAGCTGGCCACAAAACTAAGGATGGTGGTGCAATATCGAAAACTGAACGGCTATTGCAAATTTCTTCTGACCGTACTTTTGAACCTGTACTCTACCTATCTGTTGCAAAGTGGAGGAAGAAAGATATTGCATTGGTTTCATTTGAACATATAAGTTTGAGGTGCCCTCAGCTGCATTAGATATTAATTGTTTTTCAATATTTTCTGGTGCTTATTAGATTTGTTGAATGCTTGCAGAATAGCTGATTTTTGCCTTGAACTTGAGCAAGAAGTAATATTAAGCGTGCTTGACTTTGTTAAAACTGTCTCTCCAAGGTCTCAGAGTACAGTCTTGCCATTTTCAGATTCCACACTGCGCCCTGTTACATATGAGTTGGGTTCTGTAAAGGACTCATCTGTACATGGTCAAACTTTTGAGTATGTCAAAGCAATACAGGACCAACATTATCGAATGAATGATCCTGTGGTTCATAAAAGTCAGAGAAGTGTTGCATCAGTACCTTCAATTGTTCCAATTGGTGCTCCTTGGCAGCAAATCTATCTTTTGGCTAGAAGACAGAAGAAAATCTATGTTGAATTATTTGATTTGTCCCCTATCAAGTTTACATTAAGGTGATTGAATAATTTGGTCATCGTAGAACTGATATCCTTGTAACCAGTTTTAACTCCCCCACTCCCTCTTCTACTTGCCCACTAACCCTCAAATGTGTCATTTTACAGCTTTTCTAGCAGTCCATGGACGCTTAGAAATGGGGTTCCTACATCGGGAGAATCACTTATCCATGTAAGTGGACTAGCTTTATAGCATGATTGTTCATTACTTTTGCTCATCTCATGTTATGAACTTTGTTAACCTTATCCTACTTTTAACAATGGTTATTTACAGAGAGGTCTTATGGCTCTTGCTGATGTAGAAGGGGCACGAATTCATCTCAAAGAATTAACAATTGCACATCATATGGCTAGTTGGGAATCCATTCAAGAAATCCTTATGAGGCACTACACTCGGCAAATCCTTCATGAAATGTACAAGGTAACCGTGGGGTACATATGTAGTGGGTTTGTTTTTCACAGGTTTTTAGTGCTTGGCTCATTTCTACAGTTATCCACACCCCTCATGCAGCTTGTACTTCAAAGAAAATAGGACCTATGGTGGTATGATGACATGTGGTGATTTGAATTTGACCTGTTTCTAGTTGACAGTAAATATATTTTGCCTTAAACCATAGTGCTTTCCAAGCTTGCTGCTGGCTGGACTCTTATTGAACTCTTACCTGATTTTACTTCAGGATTCATGGAATACTTGTTCCTGTATTACACTGACCATTTCTGACATAATATTGATTAATGAATCCAAACATGTGATAGTTTGTAATTTCCTTCAGGGAGTCTGATTCCACCAATCACAAATAAGCGGCTTTTCTAAATGACACAAAAGTTTACTCATTCCTTCCTCTGTATTCTCACTGTCATAATTTACAGTCTTTTCTTGCTTCTTTTAATTGTATAATTTGCAGGTATTTGGGTCTGCTGGTGTTATAGGTAATCCAATGGGATTTGCAAGGAGTTTGGGGCTTGGCATTAGAGATTTCTTATCAGTTCCTGCCAAGGGTGTGTTGCAGGTAATAAACTTTCATAACTTGAGTGAAGTTTGTGCTGTTATCAGAAAGTTAAATCTATAGCTATTGCTTCTGCAGAGCCCAACAGGACTTATTGCTGGCATGGCACAAGGGACTACTAGTCTTGTGAGCAATACAATATATGCACTAAGCGATGCTGCCACTCAATTCAGTAAAGCTGCACACAAGGTATGTATGAAGCATGATTAAACTTGTACAAGTAGAAGGAAGTTGATTGATATTATAATGATTTTCTTCTTGTAGGGAATCGTTGCACTTACATTTGATGACCAGGCTGTTGCTAGAATGGAAAAACAGCAAAAAGGAGTAGCTTCACACAGTAAAGGTGTGATAAGTGAAGTCTTTGAGGTACTTCACTACGTTCTGCAGTTCTTTTTATTTATTTGTTTTCTTCGATAAAGTTACAATCTCTATATGGGGAGTAATTTAAAAGAGGGGGAGCTGGTTGGGTGTTTTTTGTTTGAACCAAAGCATCTTAATGGATTGCCTCATAAAAGCACTCAGAAGATGACTCATGATCTACCCTTCTTCATTAGCCTGTTTTTCGTAACAGATATGTCACTACCTTTAAACATAGAATTAGTGCTTCTTGATAGTAAATAGATCTGTATATCCGTAAAATTCTTTCATACAGTGCTGATGTCTAATTAATCTTATAATACTGATTGATTCCAGGGACTTACTGGTGTCCTTCAGACACCAATTAAAGAAGCTGAGAAACATGGTCTTCCTGGTCTCTTTTCAGGTAATGTAACAGAAGAAGCATTATCATCATTATCTTTGTTTAATATTTCTTAACAGTGTAAGAGACCGATAAGCAAGCATACTACTTCAAATTCACCGTTGGAACTGTTGGCTTTCTTCTTGTCATGTTGCTTTTCTTTTTTCCCTTTGCACAGGAATTGCATTAGGAGTGACGGGACTAGTGGCAAGACCAGCTGCCAGTATTCTTGAGGTTACAGGGAAAACTGCTCAAAGTATTAGAAACAGAAGTAGGCTTCACCACATAAGATCACAGCGGTATCGGGTCCGGCTTCCCAGACCTCTAAGTAGAGAACTTCCGCTTCGGCCTTACTCATGGGAAGAAGCAATTGGAACATCTGTACTCATGGAGGCCGATGATGGCTTGAAGTTCAAGGATGAGGTCCTTGTCATCTGCAAAGCACTCAAGCAAGCTGGTAAATTTGTGGTTCTCACGGAGAGACTGATACTGATAGTTAGCTGTTCCAGCTTGGTGGACCTTGGGAAGCCTGAATTTCAAGGTGTGGCTATTGATCCAGAATGGGTGATAGAATCTGAAATCGGTTTGGACAGTGTAATCCACACTGACACTGATGAAGATGTGGTACACATCGTTGGAAGCAGTTCAGATGGTTTAGCGAGGCAGAACCAGCACCCGTCTAAAAGTGGAAGCAGCGGAACAAGGACAAAATGGTGGAATAACCCTTCAACCCCCCTCCCACTTTTCCAAACCAACTTGGAATTGAAATCCAGGGAGGATGCAACAGAGTTGTTACAGATACTGTTGGCTACAATTGAGCAAGGCAAAGGAAGAGGCTGGGGCAGTGGGTATCTTTTGCATCAAAGTAATATCAGATAGAAAAAAGTATATCAGAATATTGTTACTGATCATAAAAATAGCTTGTAGCAGCAAACCCAGCATCCTATTCCTGGACTGAAGGAAAAGTCGTCTTTGACCTCAGCTGTTTGCCTCATGGGGAGAGGGTTTGAGGGTTTCACTTGTAGAATATAATTGACCTGGACCAGCCGTCTCGGTCATACCAATTTTTTCCTTGTAAATTGATCCTTTGATCCTCTATTTTGTACAGCATTGTTGTGTGAGTATATTTTTGTGCCATCTTTGTACATATTAAGCAACAGTGTCTCAGAGTTTGCCATCCAAAGTTGCTAATTTTGAAATGGAAATTGATTCCCTTTTTCTGTGCTTATTTACATGCAAACATGATTCTTTAATCTCCAACATGGACTGAAATGAAAAAAATTCAACATTTTGTTCATCCTTTATTATCCTTGTGCAACAATTTGGAACCTGCAGGGGACGATGTATAACACAAATTTGTACAAGTTGTGTAAGGAGTCAGATGAAGGTTTATTATGCTTTCACTTCAAAAAATCAAGCAAGATGAGAACATGGCAATCTAACTATTCAGCAAAAGTGCATCAAGATTCCATTTTCCTTCAGGCCCCTTTGTATACCAAGATGATACATAGTCTCCATAAACAATGTCATGGTAACGGCGAGGAGAGGATTCACTGACAAGCTCAGAAGCAGGGGATATTTTCACTGTCTTCGCTGGGTCATGAAACGTGGCAACCGAGAGCCGTGCCTTGTTGGCGTTTGTTATGGCCCGATGAATGGCACTTATGTATTCTCCATTGGTCATAACCTGCAGCCGACAAAGCCTGAGAGAGGGAAGAAACTGATACAATAATACCTGACAAGCTATTTGATACAAAGCTATTTCTGAGAAATTTTCTACTAATAGGAACATTGTGTGAAAACAATTTGCACAGATTCAACTATGGCATCAAAATTATGCTCAGAAAAGTATGAGCTTCAGTGTTATCTGTTTGATAAGGTAAGACTAGTCAAACAATAACATTTCCGAATCATGTATATTACCATAAATTTACTCAAACTAATCAAATACAGAGGATTGGAAAGCCATTATAGGACTTCCTGTTCATGTTATTATCATCCACATAAAGTAATTCCGCTAGATATAAGCATGAAACGTTTTTTTTTTCCCGAAACAATGACCTGACACCCTAGCAAGTAGCAAGGCAGAAGATTTAATTCACAAAACTAACCAACAAATTAAACACCAAAATGTAAGTTCTTCATGAGTTATGCATAATCTGATTTTAACAAGAACAAAATGAGCACATTACCACTGAATTGACAAAGACAAAATCTGCATTCAACTCAATGCAGCTGTTTCCTAATCCTCATTAATATGGACATTGCCGTATCTCTTTACCATTTTCTATTACTTTTGGAAAAGAGCTTTACAATGAAAGCAGGACGAAACACAGAAACAAAACCTGTTATTCCTCAACAATTTGTTAAAGATTTGTTGGCAATAAATTGATTTCACTGTTTCGAATTCATGTCATATGTATTTAGTAAAGTTGTGATTCATTGCACAAACAGCTCTACTTTAACTCCTTTTCCTAACACCTTCATAAGAAAGAAAAAGCTACCTAAACCAAATGTAAACTCCAGGTTCTAGCTAGTTCAGATTTTTTAATCTTTTTAAACACGACTGATTTTCCAAACATCTTCATAATAAAGAAAGCTACTTAAACCAAGTGTAAATCGCTTCAACAATTTGTTAAATATTTATAGGCAATGAATTGATTTCAGTGTTCTAAATTCATGTCAGTACTAAGGTAGTGTGATTCATTGCAAAAACAGCTCTAATTTAACTCAATTTCCTAATATCTTTCCATAACAAAGAAAAAGCTATCCAAACCAAATGTAAACTATGGGTTCTAGCTAGTTCAGATTTCTGAATCTTTTAAACATTATTTATTTTCCGAACATCTTTGAAACAAAGAAAGCTACTCTTAACCATTTGTAAATCGCGAGTACTAGCTAATTCAGCTGTTTGGATCTCTTCAGGATAACACAATTTCGGAAAATCTTCGTAAACAAAGAAAGCTACTTAAACTTAAACCAAAACAAAATTGAAATTATGGATACTAGCTAGCTCAGATATTTGAATCTCTCTTCAGGACTGACATTTTCTCGAACATCTTCATAACAAAGATAAATACTCAAACCAAATGTATATAATAAACTACAAATTTCTAGTCAGTTCAGCTGATTGAATCTTGGGATTGTACTCCCAGGAGGGGTTCTATTAAATTTTTAAGTTCGAAATATAAATTAATAGAATGCTTTGCTTGAAAATGTAAATCAATACCTGAGTTTGATCAGACAAAAGGACAACAATGGCATCATCCAAAGGCTCAACAGTCACCCACTCTCCATCTTTCAAAACCTGCAACCCTCCAACATCATCTTGAATCAACAGCGTTATAACACCAAAATCAGAATGTGACTGCAACCCAAGTGTCAGCTCCGGCTGCGGACACGCCGGATAATAACTAACTGTTATATTCTGGTAAAATTCACCCACCAAATCCTTAAAATAATCCCTTTTCAACCCTAAACTTTCCGAAATCAAACCCAAAACCCTCTCCGCCAAAGCGTTCATTTGGTCACTATACTCCTCCACCGTTCGCCGGTAATCGGACGGGAACTCCGGCCAGTTACGTGGGTTGCGACGGGATAAGGGTAATGTGTGGTGGTCAAAGTAGTCTCGCCAGTCTAAGACGGTGTCGTTTTTGCTAACTAACATTTTGCTGCCGTAACCCTCGGAGGCGGCGGAGGTGAGGTCGCAGGAGTACTTGAGCTTGTCGGGCATGGGGGTTTCCTCAAAGAAGGAGCGGCCGTGACGCCGCATGCGGCGGAGGAGTTCGAGAGGGACGCTGTGGTTGGTGACGTGGAATGCGCCCCATTCTCTGCAGGCGCCGCAGAGGGCGCCGCGGAGGAAGTCGACGGGGGTGGATAAATCGATGACGGGGATGTTGAGGGAGGAGTTTTGAGTGGTGGGTCGGTCGTGAAGAGGCTGAATGTATTGAGCAGGGACGTGGGGGAGTTTAGATTCCGCTAGGTTTTGAACTCTTGTCACTGCTTCCATGGTGATCCGATTGTTGATGATGATGACGATAGCAAAAATAACACGGATATGTCAGTCAACTTCAGGGGTAATATTATCACTTTTTCGAAACTTTAGGGTGCTGTTTATTTGACTCTCTGGGGTTAAAATGAAATATTTCAAACCTCAGGGGTGTCAAATAACACATTGCTGGGTTTAATTTAAAGTGTTTTTACCTTTGAAGGTCAATGTTGTGTTTTATTAATGAGAAGTAATAGTTTCTAGACCTTGGAGATGCTATCAGAAATAGGTGTTTTCCTCGGAAAAATCGGGGACGGGAACGATAATATTCTCCGTCCCTAGAGTTAGCAGTGAGTCGCCTCATACCTAAAGATTCAAAACTTATCGTTTCATGTCGTGCCAAGGCCCGCAAAAAATCGTGCCTTGTCATGCCATGTCGGCCACCAAATTTGAAGGCCCATGCATGACTCGCTATATATCGTGCTTGCCTTGGGCCATGTTGTGGGCCAGCCCGCGTCATTTGTAAAAATATTTAATTTTAATATTTATAAATTATGGTAATTTTGATATTTATTTTATATGTTATATTTAATAACATTTTGTATTTATATTAATTAGAAAAGCATATAATCACTATAGAATATAATAAAATAATGAGACATTGAAATATTAATTGAATTTCAACGCTTTTTATTACTTATGAGTTATAATTATAAATTACAAATACAAATTTAGAAGTTAGGATTAATAATTATTATATATCTTCATTTTCACTAATTTCTAAATTCTTAAAATCTTCAAATATATCTTAGTTGTAAATATAGATTAGTATTTTATTTTTTAATTTTTTTTAATTTTTTGTGCCATGCCATATTGGTCCACGTGCCTTTTGTAAAGACCCACAACACGACCAGCATAATCGTGGGCCGTGCCATGCTTTTTTTTGTGTTGTGCCTCGTCGTGTTGTGCCGGCCACCGACTCTACCCGTCTCTAGGAACGGGAATAGAGGTCTCCGTTGCTTATTAGGAAATTAATTTTCAATATATAATTATGATGTTTTGCTATTAATTACATCATCATCCTTTTTATATTTCAACTCATTAATATTCTTTATTTTGAGTTTAACAAAATAATAGCCAAACTAATTAAGGGGAAATTACATATTTTATTGTGATGATGATGATGGCTAGACATTAACAAAGCAACAAAATATTAAAAAAAAAAAAAAAACAAATTAACCTCTTATCTAAATATAAATTAAAGAAAAACAAACTGATAAACCGTTAGCGGTTTATTACATCGAACCCCCCATGAGAATGTTTAATTGCTTTAAACCCACTATATTTAGAAAGAATTATATTAACCCTTATCAGGGGCATTTTTGGAGAAATAAAAATACTTATACGGGACTATCTCACCATCTCATTTTGCTGACGTAATGAAACTATCTAATAATATAATGACATATGTAGCCATACATATGTCAAATTTTCTCTTTCATCAATAATTACCTTTCATCGTTCAACAATAACCATCACCATGACGAGTTTTGAAAATTAATAATACGAGATTGTTAGCAAAACGTATTGATGAGATTGTCCTATGTAAGTTTTTCTCACATCTTTTTATATTTTTATAGAGAAGTTATTGATAATCTTTCGAGAGATTTATATTAAGTGAAATGATCAGACCGTCTTATATAAATTCGTCATTGTCGACTTGATGAGACTACCCGATAACGAAAGAACAAAGTGTTGATAGGTGAAGTGATAAGATTTTTACGGAGAGGTTTTCAGTAATCTCTTGGGGGTTGGTAGCACTTTCTGAAAATATAGAGCCGTGTTAAAATTAAGTAATCATCTTGGGGGGGTATATAAATAGTAAAAACAATAAACATAACATCCTTAACAAATCTTAACAAATAGATTACCACAAATATTTCCGAAAATGAAGCTTCACCTTCAACCTTTTGCCATTGTTATTTAGTTATTTTACCATTGTTTCTCTTCTTTCTCCAAGCCATAATTCTTCTTCCCATTCCTTTTCAATTTTCCAATTCAAATCCATGACCACCGCCATTTCTTTCCCTTTCCTCATCCTCTTTTTTCTTTGCAACAATGCTTTCCTGCCAAAAGCTGTTGCCATTTCTTCCACTTCTCCACCACATGAATTTGCCCGGTTTGAGCTGATTCACCGGCATTCGTCCTTGTTGGCCGAACGCACCGACAAGGCCTTCCAGCCTCCAGAGAATCCGCTGGAACGAATTAAGGAGCTTGTTCACAGTGACATTGCTAGGCTGCAAAGGCTGTCCCACAGGCTTAGCCTGAGAAGGAAAATTGCGGAAGTACCAAAAGATAACTCGAGCTCGATTAGCCTTCCATTGCGCTCGGCTGCAGATGCCGGAGTCGGTCAGTTTTTCGTGACGATTAATGTTGGAACTCCTCCAAAGAGCTTCGCCCTTATTACTGACACGGGCAGCGACTTGACATGGATGAAGTGCAAGTTGGGAAAATGTAGTTCCTGTAAAAAGGGCTTCAAAGACCCTCCTGGAAACTTTTTCCAGGCTGATTTATCGTCTTCTTTCAAGAGCATTCCATGCAATTCGGATACTTGCATAAGGGACCTGGCAGATTTGTTCTCTTTAACGATCTGTCCTACACCCTCCACGCCCTGCTCTTATCAGTACAATTACATTGATGGTTCGGTAGCCAATGGATTCTTTGGCAATGAAGTTCTCTCATTCGGGATGGATAACCGGAAAATGGTGAAGATGCACGACGCACTGATCGGTTGCACAGAGTCATCGGAGGGCATTCGCGGTTTAGATGGAGTACTCGGACTAGGCTACAACAACAATTCCTTTGCGGTGAAGGCAGCAAGAATGTTTAATCAGAAGTTCTCATATTGCCTGGTTGATCACTTGAGTCCGAGCACCAAAGTGAGCTATCTCCTTTTCGGAAACAATCCCCATCGATCCACGAGAATGCAATACACAGAGCTACTCCTGAAAGCCCTGGATGAGTCTTATGGAGTGAATGTGAGTGGAATCTCAATTGGAGGCACAAAACTGGACATCCATCCGGCAATTTTCGATGCAAATGCCGATGGAGGGATGCTTCTCGACACGGGTGCTACATTAACATTCTTGGCAATGCCAGCATACAAGCCTGTGATGAAGGCTCTGACAGCCCCCCTACAGAAATTCAAGAAGATGGATGTGAATGTGCCGGCATTGGAGTTTTGTTTCAGTTCTGCAGGATACAATGAGTCCATTGTACCAGAACTTGTCTGGCATTTCTCCGATGGGGCAACATTTGTGCCACCAAAGAAGAGTTACATTATTGATACAGCTCCAGGAATTAAGTGTGTAGGATTGGCTTCTGCTCCTTTTCCAGGGGCCTCTATCATGGGTAGCATTATGCAGCAAAACCATTTGTGGGAATTTGATCTTGCAAATCGCAAGGTGGGCTTTGGTCTCTCACCTTGCCTTTGATATAGGATGAGCAAGAAGAATCATATTTGATATTTTAAATTTAAAAAAATATTTAAAATATCATTCTAATAATTTATAATTTTAATATATGGTTTGGATTATCCAAATCTATTAGTCTACTTGGGCTCAGAGATTTCCTTTGAGCCCTAGTTTAGCTGGCCTGGTTGTCATTAAAGAATTCAACAAAATTAAGAGATTTTTTTTTTTCCTTGGCTTCTTGATTGTGATTGGATGACAATCCCTTTAACTATTGGGGTTGAACGGGAAATGTAGTTACCTGATTTACCCCCCCCAAAAAAAAAAAAATTATTGTCCTTATAACCAATAAAATGAGATTAATGAGATGGGGGAAATGTAGAGTAAATTTCCAAAATAATTCAACAGCTAAATGCTTAATGAAGTACATACTGCTTATAAATACTAAGGCATAAATGGAGGGAACAATTGTTCGAATGTATAAATTATAAGGTCAAGTTAATAATTATCTCCATTATTAATATTGGTTAAGAACCATAGCGAGAGACGGGACTCATTTAGAAGTCGATCAATTACGAATTATCACGTTGAAATTGTGAAAAAAAAAATTGTGAGATTGGATTATAAGTGTAATATTTCGTTGATTTAGAGATAATATAGATATGAATTATGTGACTTAATTATTTTTTTCCCTTTGGTTTTTATCTATTAAGGACAATAATTTTACAAAATATCAAAAAATCCGTAAACTTCCCTGTTGGAGGGTGGTATTTGACTATGCTGCGGGCATTACAGGAAACAAGCAGCGGGGTCAACTGCCTCTTTCTGAATGGTAAAAAACCAGCTATTACCAAACACCAAAACTCTGTGGGCCAACCCTTATCGTATCCCACCATTTACATTCGACTTCAAACTCTCTCTCTTTCTCTCTCTCTCTCAATCCACTTTTTGATTCTCATTTCATCTCCTTCTTCTTCAAAAGCATTATATAACCAGCAATTTAATACCAGAAACAAACCAACCAAAAAAAATCCCACATCGAAAACCCACCAACATTTCAAATGCCACCCGCCACCGCGCTCTCCGCCGCTTCCTCCTCCTTCACTCTCTTCCCCCTCTCCTCGTCCAACACCACCGCCACAACCACTAAGCTCAAACCCACCATTCGTTTCTCCCCAAAATTCCCCACTTTCACCATGCAGAATCCCTCCTCAGCCGCAGCCGCAGTGCGCGCCGGCGTTCCGATCGAGAAAGAAGTCCCGGAAACAGAGCGGCCCTACACGTTCCTCCGGGAGGCAGACGATCAGGAACCCTCGTCCACCTCTTCTGTGAGGGCCCGCTTTGAGAAAATGATTAGGGATGCTCAAGATAGTGTGTGTAAGGCCATTGAGGCGGCGGATGGTGGAGCCAAGTTCAAGGAGGATGTTTGGTCCAGGCCTGGTGGTGGTGGTGGCATCAGTAGAGTGCTCCAAGACGGTGCCGTTTTTGAAAAGGCTGGGGTTAATGTATCTGTTGTGTATGGTGTTATGCCCCCTGAAGCTTATAGAGCTGCCAAGGCTGCTGCTTCCACTGATCAGAAGCCGGGTCCGGTACCCTTTTTTGCAGCCGGTGTTAGCTCGGTAATGTGACTCTTCGATCATGTTGTGTTATGGTTATTTCAATTTTAAAGTTATTAGCTTTGTTTGTGGTGATTCTTGAACTGCATTGTTGAATGGCTCTAAAATTTGTAATTTTGATCCCTTCATATAGGTAAAAAATTGATTTTGATCATATAGATAAGGAATGATAATGCTGGTTGTGTTTTGTTATGGTTGTTTAAATTTTGGAGTTATTAGCTCGGTTCATGATGATTGTTTGATTGCATTGTTGGATGGCTCTAGAATTTGTAATTTTGATCCCTTCATATAGCAAAAGTTTTGATTTTGATTTTGATTTTGATTTTGATTATGGATGTGTTGAGTGACTCCATATTTTATACTCAAATTATGATATGGATTAGTTATCATGTTAGGAGTGCCTTGGATGACTGAAGTTGTGGTGGGCATGGGTTGCTTATGGTGTTCATTAGTGATGCATCGTAGATGTATTCAGAATAGTTAATGAAGTTGCTTATATGAATTCTTTTTCTCTATTTTTCAGGTTTTACATCCGAAGAACCCTTTTGCACCAACTTTGCATTTTAATTATCGGTATTTTGAGACAGATGCTCCAAAAGGTATTATTGGTATCTCTTGCAATATGGCACTTTTTCTTCTCATTTATTTCCCTAAATATAAGCTTTTGGTTAATCTAACTGCATGATATTAATTTATAGAATTCATATGCTTATACTTCTGGAACTAGCTCTGATGAACAAAATTCTATGTTATTAGCTTTTAGACCAATTAAAATCCAGATAATTACATAAGGAAAAAACCAATGAAGATATCTGACTAAATGTCGGACACCTTGAGAAGTTCCCATCTATTGGGTCTCTTTGCAGGGCATCGTTGTCTGGAGTGCGTAAATGAATCAATTAGTTTCATTATTATTCTTTGCTACCTGCTTGCATATGTTTAAAGTAGCTTGAGAGATCGATTTAAATTTTGTTGCTTAAATTACTCTTGAAAGAGGCTTGTAAAGGGTGTATAGCTGTCCTAGGGATATAAGCAATAAGATGGTCAAGTGTTAACTTCTTTATATATTGGATCCTCTGTGGAGATCTAGGATCGAGGTTTGCAGATTCCAACAATCATACATGTAAAATCCATTGTGGTTGACTGGTACCGTCTGCCTTGACAGGAGGCATACTTGGTGACGTGGACTTTTAGGTATTCTTTTTGGGTTTGGGTAAGAAGCTAGATGGGTGCATGTACCATCTAAGCAGAAAAAAAACATTTCTTGGCCAGGAAATGAACTTCTGCCTGACAAGCTTCAAGGAGTCACCATTGCCTTTAATGGCCTTTTGCTACTCAAGTGTGGATTTGTTTTTGTTTTCTCAATTCCTGTGTGTGGGTCTTTTTGTGACAATGAATAACCCCTTGACTGTTTTCTTCTTGATCGTTTCTTAGATAATCTCTTTTATTATAATCTGTTTCTTGATACATTTTTTGGTCTGATTGTACTGTCTGTTTCATTTATTTTGGTTTAGATGAAGTTTAAGCACTTTGTTCTGTTATAATAGTAAACATAGATAGTCTTTTATGTCAAAGTATTTGCTATATATATTTATTACAAGTTCTTTAAGAAACAAAATTTACATTGAGGTAGGGACACAGGGAAATGATATGGGGACAATTTGAAATTACATTAAAGAAATGAGCTGGAGATGAGATGTTACTAGAATAATTTATCCTCATAAACTTTCATAAATCTTATGGCTTACTATGGTAGCTCAGGTACATTGAGTTCTAAATACAAGCTATTTCTCAATGAGCTAGTTCTGGTTTTACAATTTTAAAAAAAGAAATGGACTTTTAATTGACTGTTCATTGCTTAATCATGCAGATACTCCTGGAGCTCCACGGCAATGGTGGTTTGGTGGTGGAACAGATTTGACTCCTGCATATATCTTTGAGGAGGATGTTAAGCATTTCCATTCAGTATGTACTCTAACCAATGGGTTGGATATTCTTTTACTATAATTACTGTGTAGGGTCTTTCCACAGGTCCTCCTTTAGAGAAGTTATATTGTCATTTGCAATGTGAATGTGCATGTGTATAAATGCCACCTCAAAATAACTGCAGATATTTTAGAGACTAAACGAAATATCTTGAATAAAAAAAGCTTGAATTTAGTTTATCTCTTTTCATAGAGCTGTCTGCTTCCCCATTCCACCGAGGAAAGTGTACTTTATGATTGGCTAGTGCTTATTGACTTTATTCAACGTTAAAATTAACTGCAAATATGTTTGATTTGTATCCATATGGTAATATTATGTTTATTGATATCGAACTTCTTTTGAAGATTCAAAAAGGTGCCTGTGACAAATTTGATCACTCATTTTATCCTCGATTCAAGAAATGGTGTGATGACTATTTCTATATCAAGGTATGCCTCTAAAACCTTATGAATCAGACCAATTGACTGTTCTAGCTTGGACATCCCTTAGATTGCATCGTTATTTTGATATGATTCATTGTATCAGTTTTTATTACTAGGTTTACATTAACATTTGAGAAGATCGTAACTCTTAGTCCTCTAGATACTGAGCAGGGTAGGAATTTTATTTTTCTTTGGAAATGTCAATTTTTTTCTTTATGTTTCATGTCATTGAATTTTTCCTTGACTGTCTATGTTGCTGTCTACAGCACCGAGGTGAGAGGCGAGGGCTGGGAGGAATATTTTTTGATGATCTAAATGATTACGATCAGGAGATGCTTCTTTCCTTTGCTACTGGTAATTGCTTAGGATTATGATGAGATTGCTTCTATGAGTATTTCAAATTGTCTTAACATTTTGAATGGATTTGATACTGTACATAGACTAATCTAGTAATCTGTTGTCAACTGGCAGAATGTGCGAATTCTGTGGTTCCTGCTTACATACCCATTATAGAGAAACGAAAGAACACGCCATTTACAGAACAGAACAAGGCATGGCAACAACTGCGCCGGGGACGTTATGTGGAATTTAACTTGGTATGTAAACTAGTTCTGAAGCTTGTGAACACTTTCACCATAAAAAATTCCTCTAAGCAAGGCTTTAAATTCTCTTCCTGTTTTGTTTCACTCTTGAAGGTTTACGATCGGGGTACAACATTTGGGTTGAAGACTGGAGGTCGAATTGAAAGTATTCTTGTTTCCCTCCCACTGACAGCCCGGTGGGAATATGACCATGTAAGTTTCGTTGATCATTCTGATGAGAATTCTGTTACTGGAATAGTTTTCTTTTTAAACAAATGCCATGTCCTTAACATTTATGTTTTTAACCTAACATTGTATGTTATAAGTGTGACATTATACATTACTCAACCACGTCCCGGTAAAATTATTCACTAATGGTACTGAAAAATTTTAAGGTTGGATGATGAGATGTTTGTTTTTCTTTGTTTGGTATGCAGCAACCAGATGAGGGAAGTGAAGAATGGAAATTGTTAGATGCTTGCATCAACCCAAAGGAATGGATTTAGTATATTTTTTCCCTTTCAAAAAATTAGTATCCTGGTATCATCTTGAGTGTTCTCTCTTTCATTTTTTTTTTCCTTGTAATATTTTTCTTCTTTCCATTCCGGCATTAGCAATTAGTGTATTGGCAGAAGTAGTCTACAACTTGATAATGTTGCAGGAGGATCTGATTGTAAATCACACCGATTATTTCCAGCCCTGATCTTTTAGGCCAATGTAATAATAATTAATAACCTTTTAGTTAATAGAGAAAACATTGCTCAGTGCAAAGAACAAAACTTCAGCTGATTGAAAGCTGGTTGTTGTTGATGATGAGATAAACTGTGTTAACATTCAGTATGAACGCAAATTGATTGCTATACAGAGCAGCATTTGTATTGTTAAAAAAAGTTTGCCAATGGGGAGGGAGGTAAGCAGGCAAAAGTGAGACTTTTATCAGTACAATCAGTGTTTTAATAACCAACTTGGGGTGAAACCCGGCAAAGTGGTTGGGTCCTGAGCTAACGGGTTTAACCAGCGGGTCCAATCGGTGTCTAAAAGTTTGAAATCTAATAAAAACACCCCTGAAAGTTACTTTCAAGTCCCTATGGGTTTAAAACCTTGCAAGAATACCCCAAAAACCATAGCCAACATTGACAAACTAGGGCAAATAGGGCCTGTTTCTGGAATGACAACACTCTCCATTATCACGAAAACACTCTCCTCAGCTTCTTGACCAAAACCTATGACACCCCTCCCCCGATTGCCTCGCTAATTACTAGCAACTGCCGTTGTTGTCGTCAATTTAGTTTGTGATTTCTGATTGATTCACTCATCGGAAATCACCACCATTGACACCGTGACACTCGCCGATCCTTCCTTTTCAAAACCTTCAACGTCTCAATCTTCAATTGTTTGTTGATCATCGTCTTAATTTCTAAGGTTTTCGATGAAAAATTGGTAACTCGACTCGGTGAAGTCCTCTAGTCCCGATTGAACTAGTTCAACTGTCTGAGCCAGGTTTTAAAACATCGAGTACAACAAATAGGAAACAAAGTTGAGGTATTTATGCATTTGTTTAACTTTTAACCCATATATATATATATATATATATATATATGAACAAAGATGAGAAAAAATTATATGTATCTGACAACGGATCAAAAAATCTTGGTGATCTTCCCTATCTAATGAATAGGATGTTCGTTTTGCACCTAACTCCAATTATATGCTTAAATAGGAATCACAGAAGAGTTGATAAAATATAAACCTATGGCAAAATGTCCGCCTAAGAAAAGGAATCAAAATTTCTCCTGGGTCTAATGTGTTGCTCAATCTCACAGTAAATTAGCAAATACTCATTTAAGACATCATCAGTGCAATTAATGCATACTGCCACAGAAATCCAACAAGTCTCAATATGAACATATAAAATTTGATGTAGGACAATAAATGAACCGCAGCATCTTAATAGCTTGTAACACTTCTTCCTTCTTTTATTGCTATATTCATGAAAGGAAGCTACATTAGAAGAGGGTAGATTCAAACAGATAATGTATTACTTTCCCAATCAAAATTCTCCATCCTAAACCAGTTAAAACTTGAGCAAGATTTATGGTACTAACAAAAAGGCAAATAAACCAAAAAATCACATAACTCTGGTGTTTGCAGACCAACTATCAGTTAAAGTTATCTGATAAGAAGATTTCAGTTTTTTTGGGTTTGAAGAAATTTTCTGTTTTATTGCATGGTTTGTGCTGCTTTTTCTGAATAATAATTGCCAAAATTGCCAAAACTTGGCAATCTAGTTGCAGTAAAAAGTGTAAATCACTAAACATGTCAAGATTGCCTCAATCTGCAACTTTATATTCATGCATAATCTGAAGCACTCAGACCGGTTTATCATTCGATTTTGCTGTTTTCCATTTACTCCATTTCAGAAAGCAAAATGGCTGGAGAATACAGTATGAACAAAAGTGAGATTTTACAGCTCAAAATACATGCAAAAGAAAGGTAAGCGCTGCTGACCAGCATAAGTTATAAACTATGAATTTGTCGACGTTAAGAAACCTGCTTCTGCCTCTCACTTGTCAGTGGAATTACTATTTGTCCAATCCAGGAACTTGTACCCCTGAAGTGAGGGCGGTAGAAAGCTTTGTGTTGCCGAGGGATTGTCAGGGGTGTAAATATAGCCCTTGCCATATCCAAGTTCCTTCATTAGCTTTGTCGGTGCATTCCTCAGATGGAGCGGCACTCCTTCATTCTGTCCGACCGATTCTCTAACAACCTTCTGTGCAGCCTCTATTGCTCGGTAAACAGATATTGATTTAGGAGCCAAAGCCAAGTAGGCCACACATTGCGCCAGAATCACATTGCATTCAGGCATACCCAAGAAATGGCAAGCTTGGTAGCATGACACAGCTTGATTAAGTGCCAATGGATCAGCCAATCCAACATCTTCACTCGCAAACCTTATCAACCGCCTTGCAATGTAAAGAGGCTGTTCACCTCCTTCCAACATTCTTACCAACCAATATATCGCTGCATTAGCATCATTTCCCCTCATAGATTTATGTAACGCACTGATCACATTATAATGTTCTTCCCCTGCTCTATCATAAGCAAGATGCTTACATTGAAATGCCTCCTTTGCATCATCTAAGGTGACAATCGCCACGACAGAACGATTTTCTTCACTCGACACCAAATTCATCTCTTCCTCTACCTCTTCCTCTGCAGTCTTAAGTTGCTTAACAGACACTCTCGCTGCAGCCCTAGTAGCAGAAATCTCCAAGCCATTCAATGCCACACGAGCATCGCCATCACAATTAGACGACAAGAACTCAATAGCATCATCCTTCACCTCAACTCTCACTTCAACACTCTTCCCCACCCCCCTATCGATATCCTCCACTGCTCGCCTCAAAAGTGTCTCAACGTGGCCTGGTTTCAACGCGTTAAGCGTAAGAACTCGACAACGAGACAACAATGGCGTAATCAAATGAAAAGAAGGGTTCTCAGTGGTGGCACCAATGAACACAATACTTCCATCCTCAATCACAGGCAAAAACGAATCTTGTTGTGACTTATTAAACCTATGAACTTCATCAACAAACAAAACAGTCCTCTTATTCCAATTATTTTTCACTTTCACCCTCCTGGCTTCCTCAACTACTTCCCTAACATCCTTAACCCCACAAGTAACCGCAGACAAACACACCAAACGATAAGAAGACACAACTGAACCCACAATGGCTTTCGCAATCGAAGTCTTACCGGTTCCGGGGGGCCCCCACAGGATGACGGAAGGGAGACGGTTGGTGTCGACAGCGCAGCCGAGGACCGAAGTGGGTGACAGGAGGTGGTCCTGGCCGACGACCTCGTGAAGCGTACGAGGTCTCATGCGCTCCGAGAGGGGCACCTGAGGCGCACATGTCTTGACACGCTTCGCGGGGGGAGCAGATTCGACCAATTGGGTGGTGGAGGCAGTGGCAGTGGCAGTGGCAGTGGTAGTAGCAGTGGCGGGTATGATGGGTTTGGCGAAGAAACGATCGAGTTTTGGTTGGGAGGGAGATGGGTTGTTCGGCGGTGGGTCGGCGGAGGGGCGGCGGGAAAGAATCCATTCGGTGGCTTTGAGAGTGGATTTTCCGCCGGTGGCGGCGAGGGCTTCGGCGGCTAACTCGTTTGGAAAGCCCATGCTTAGTAGTTGTTCCATCTCCATCACTTTGGATTGCACTTAGAATCGAAGAGACAGAGATTTTAGTTCATTGGAACAACATGGGTTTTGTTTGGTTTGTTGTGTTCGGTCATCTTTATACTAATTATTATTATCACCATCGGATTTTAAGGACCCTATGTGAATTGTCGCTTTCTGATATTCTTCTTCAGAATTTAAAAATAAATATACTTAAAAAGAATATGAGTTTTTAAAGTCCCCGGCCCTGAAGTTAAGTACCGTTAAATCTGGTAGCCATTTCCTATAACCAAATTTAGAATCTCTTGAGTAATATATTTAATACTCTTTATTATAATACTTAATCATCCAGGTTGATTCGATCAATATTGACATTGATGTTTATGTTTTGTGAAGTTAAACTCAACGTCTTGAATTTTTCAAGATGTAGATCAAAGATCAATAACCTGAAGTTTATATTTTGTGAAGTTAGACTGATCGTTACCCTTTTAAGTCTACACATTAAAACTATTGCAAATCAAATTTACACATTAAATTGACGATATATATCGATTAAATGTAACACAATGATTAAAACTATTGGTGCGTCGTGTCATATATATATATATATATATATATATATATATATCATTTTTGAGAGTTGATCTCAATTCTTGTATGCTGATAAGAGACCATAATGTCACGACCAGCCTGTTTGCCGACTCAAGCATGCTGCACGTTGCTTACTGATTAAGTATACTTCAGGGTGAAGCAAACTTAAGGGCTAAGTTAACTTAATAGCTAAGTTAACGACTCAGTTAAGTTAGGCGACTAAGCACGAGCTTAGCAAAGAAGTTAAGTGCGTGACAATAAGCTCCAAGGCTTTCTTCTTTTTCTCATAATCTTTTTCCCATAGAATTGCATACAAACCAAGAACGATCAATATTGGTCCCACAATACTGAAAAAAAACAAATAGTTAATTAATGTTGAAATCTTGAAAAAAACCTAACACCATTAGTTAATTCAATATATTATCTTCTAGAAATAATCGACATTAATTTTCCTGAAGAAAACTAAGAGTTTCCCTTAAATTCTAAAAGATAGATATATTTAATGTATACATATTAAATAGATAAATCATTGATCCATGATAATCAAACGTTTAGAAGTTGATGAATTTGGTAATAATTATGAAAATGAATATAAATATAAGAATTTTGGTATCAAAATATTATTGTTATTTGCAGCAATATGGAGAAAATAAGAATAGAGAAATTCCATTCCAACAGATTTTAAGAGATTCTTTGCAGAAGCTTAATGTTGCACCTCCAACCTTTTCAATTGAAAGCAAAGGACCTGACCATGCAAAACAATATCGAGGTTTTGTGGAAATATTTGGTCATAGAAATCAAGTTATGAGCGGTTTCCAAGGGTCATGGAGAAGGAGGCTCTGAATGCAGTTTCAGAACAAGCATTGGAATTTCTGCAAAATGTTGAAATGATCGAAGTAATTGATGTGAATTTTGATAGAGTTGTTAGGCTACAAGAGAAATGCGAAGATAGAGGGAAAATTTGATGAAGGAGAATGCATAATGTTCAGGAATTTGAGTAATGCATTTATTATTATTTTCTTTCTTCTAGGTTTGACTAATAGCATGACGATGTCACTGGTCCAACCCATCGGTCGGACCAGTTAAACCGTTCAACCTGGGACTCGCCTGAACGGGTCATTGTTCAGATTGGGTTTCAAAACATTGACTGATATCATAATATACATACATTGTAAAATCTATAAAAGTTTGAATCTGGAGGGAATCTGGTCATTATATACTATAGAAGTAAAATAAAAATGCATACCTTCCCAAGTAGATTTCTTCTCCTAAAATGAGAAGTCCCATAACAGCTACAATTACTGTTGCCAATGGTCTAAATGCTGTCATGAAAACTGGACCTTTTTCCCTTATAACCAATGTTTGTAAATACACTGTGATTCCAAATATTACAATTCCCTGCAAAAATTAATTAATCAACTGTCCATTAACTATCATTATTAATTCGATAACGTTACAGCTAGCATGCATCGGTATCAAGTTGAAAATAACTTACACTGTAAACAGGAGCAAGAAGGCTGATGCCCAGGACAATTTCCAGGAGGAAGGTTTATGATCAAGAATAGCATTCATTATTGCTGCAAGTAAAGTTCCTGCTAAGCAAGTTAAGAATGTGAGTGTTATTGGTGCTGGATACTTCTTGATTGTCCACGCCTGCAATATTTTAAGCAAGTTAAGAAGGTATCATTCAGTGAATCTTGCCTCTTTTCCGGTGAAACGTCCTTCCTGCAACCTTTCTGTTCCATTTTGGGGTCGATTGTTGGATTATTTATCCAACAATGTCTACGGACGCATCACCGACAATGAGCATTATCCCGTGACATCGACCAATCTTTCTTTTTATTTTTTAATATTAATTAATTAGTTTTAATATAATATAAATGTTTTTAAAATTTTCTTGTGTAGTCCAAAGCAAACCTTCAAATTTAATATAGTTCATCCTCCCTCGAATGAACCAAACATTGTATTTTTTCAAAATAAATAGTCCCACGCTTTATGCAGTCTAATACTACCAACCAGGTAACCCTATGTTTTTTTTTTTTTTTTTTTTTGATTTATTTTCATTCATCATCGGTTTAGGGCATTTATGTCTTTCTACTTTTTATTAAATTTAACGATAATATACCTGTAAGATGAAGAATGCAGCTAATGCAAGGTATGAAATGAAGAGCATGAGAGAGCCTTTAATCCAATCTCCATCTGAGAAAAATGTTGAGCTGATACCAGCACTCCGATTCTTCTTATGGTGTCCAGAGGACGACGATAAGGAAATTACCACAATACCCTTGTATAGAGTCATAAATTTTGCACCAGCTAAGGCAACAACAGTGCCCACAATTTTTGCTTGAGCACTTGCTTCTGAAATCTTTAGTTTCTCCATTCTTTTTTTTTTATTTTGCAAAAAAAAAAAAAAAAGGTGAAATTCTCTTAATTAATTATTTTTTTGATAATTTTTACTTTTAATTTTCATTAATTTACCTGCATAAAACTGCCAAGATAAAGGTGATGGCTGGAGTTGCATTTGGCCATGGCTGATGCAAATGTTGGTGAAGTGTATTTTAATCCTGCAAAAAACAGTGTCCTTCCCAGCACAGCCCTGCCATAATAAATATATATAAATTAATTTTTCACCCAAAAATTGATCAAGAATTCTCTAATCAAAGTAATATATGTAGGGGCCAAAATGTTAGCTTCAATGAATAATGGAGTCAAAATGATAAGAACTACATTTATATGGCTTAACGAATATTTTCTATATAAATTCTAAAGATTTCTGTGGGGGCTGGGGGGTGGCCATCCATAGCCAACCAGAACCAAAAGTTGCTCGTTGCAGTGGATACCATTATTAGCAACTCAAAAAGGATTCGAACTCAAGATCTCTTAAATAATATACCCAAGAGTCTCTATTAAATCACTCGACCACCCAAAAATAGTTCATAGAGATACTTACCAATATAGTTGTACTCATAAAATCTCTCTTCTTTTCTTTTCTCTCGAAATAGTACTAATGTATGAATAGACAAGTCTTTCTTATATATTTCTTCATAATTAATAGAATTATATGATAAAAGATCATATAAATTATTTTTTTGAATAACATATGATATATCATCTTCCCCAAGATGAACACTTCCCAGCATACCAAATAGGAATATGAATCTATGAATATACGAGTGTTTCTTATCTGCATAATTAAAAGATTTATACGATAAAAAAAATCATATAATTAAATTACTCACCCTAAAAGGCCAAGAAAGAAGATGTTTCTCCAGACTTGGATGTTTAGTTTGCTTTCGTTATTCCTGCATAGAAGAGAGAGATCCTGAAGCATTAAGATCATGAATCACATCAAACATAACAACAATTAGAAGATTAATTAATGAAATAATTACCTCTCAAAGAGAAGAGCAAGAAGAGCAGTGGCCAAAGTTCCAAAGCCATGAGCATAAACAACCAAAGCATAGAAGCTCATGCCATCATCTAGAGAGACCTTGGAGACAATATTGTAACCTGCATAGCAGAAGCTGCAAAATATGCTAAGTATGTAAGGCTTTAACTCCTTCAACATTTCTCTCAATCTCTCAAGTTTTTTGTTTTGATTTCGGGGTTCTCTCTGTTTTAAACAATTTGGAGATGGAGAGGAAAATCACACCACCATGAATATGATAGCTATTGCTAGCTTTACATTTTTGCTTTAATGTTTATGACTTTGCAATAATTATTAGACCCATAGTTGTTCTTTTACGTAGAGATGTCTCTATTTCTTTAAAATGTAGAATGTTATCATTTATTATTATTGGGAAATGCCAAACAATAAAGAAAAAAGTTTGTACCTATAGTCTTTTAGATCGATAAATTTGACTAAAATTTGTTTTTTAATATTAATCTAAAATAAAAAAACGTGGATTTTAGAGAGAAGAGAGAGAGGCGCTACCATGAATATGACTACTATTGCTAGTCTTATATTTTAGCTTTAATGTTTATGATTTCGCCATAATTATTTTACTTATCGTCGTTTTGTTACGTAGATGTTTGTATTTTTAGAATATCTAGAATATTCTTGTTTAATATTACCTTTGATAATGTTAAAGAATAATTAACAAAGAACATGAATTCGAATTTTTAATAATTACAAACATCTACATCTGATAATTTTCAGTCATTTCGATTCATAATTCAATTATAAATCTTTGGGGCTAGTGCTTGATGAGTAAGATGCTTTCGAAGAGATTCTAGGGATAAGAGAATCATACAATTTATCTACATGGACCACTTATTACTAGATAATTGAATATTAATTAAATTTATTTAATTATCAAATTTAATCAAGCAGTACTGAAATATTCATTTCAGAGAACCTGATTCAGAATAGCTTTGATTCTTTAATAAGTTGAGGTTCACTTTATGAACAAATCACAAACCTTAATATTATTATGTGAACAAATCTCAAATATTGGAGGCATTAAGAGATATTTAATGCCCTTTTCATATACTTCTATGGGAGAAGAACTT